CGTTAATATTTGTTAATAATTAAAGGAATGACTCGTAGCTATCAAAGCGCATGTTAAAATGCAGCGACATTGTATTTAGCTAATATAACGAATTAGAATCTGTATTCCATTATCTGTGTTAAAAAAAAAAAAGTGATTATGAAAGTTTCGAGAATCACATTAATCGTGTTTATTATGCGTTTAAGCCTGCACATATTGAGCTGAATATTAATTCTATATCGGCGAGTTTCAACCTAAATACACCTGAATGGAGCATTGCGCAATAGGGGCAATTGAATTTTAGTTGTGTTTGATGTGCGGACTGCGTAACTTCATCCACACACAGAGTGATTCCGATTACGTAGAGCCACTTACTGGATGCAGGTCCGTGGGGTGGCACTTGTCAAGCTATACATTCGGATCATTTCTGAAGCATGCTTTTTCTATACATGTTTATGCACATGCTGATGTTGTTGTTCTGCCTGTAACTTTATGGGCAATTCTGAAAAATGTGTGCTGTTCTCATTAGTAATTGGCTGCCTGCACTGTCTTGGTGCTCCTTGGCCAGGCGATGAATGATCCACTCGAATAAAAACATCAGTGTGCAGTGCATCATGTTCGGCCATGTGAAGGCCTATTTATTGATTCTCCTTAATTGGGAGACATCAGTGCACACAAGGGTTACCAAGATAAGGCAATAATACTGTGATACATCGTGCGATTTCAACTGGACATCTGTGAAAATTAGCTTTTAGCTCATCGGATTCCTCCAGTATAAATAAATATTCTGATTCTGATATGAGATCCACAATAAATCTATCATGTTTTGCTAATTATTGTGACGTCACTAAGATGTTTTTCCTTAACATTTTATTTCCTGGCAAAATGTCTGAAATAACAAACTCAATAATGAAAGTTGTAAATAAATAGCAATTTTACATTAAATGAGTGCTTTGAAAAATGTTTCGAACATAGTTCATGGCATTGGGAATAAATTACGTTATAATATTAAAAGTGTATTCAATTATCTATTGAATAACTGAGAGCATGTGTCTTTTATAAGCATTGCAGAACGGAGAAATAATTATAAATATTTGCCCATAATAGACATTTTTGGGTTAAATCGCGTAAATATATAAATGTGTCGTTAAAACCCGCCACCACCCGACACAGCCAACTAGTAAGGGTTACATTTGGTGAATTGCAATTGAGTAAACTGCAATGATTTGTACTCGAAGCATAGCAAGCACAAAAACAAGAAAATAATTGTGTGAAAAGTAAATTTTATATTGTATCATCTTGTGAAAACTGATATTGCGGCAATCCTCGTGTGCAGTGTATCATGTAAGGCAGCCTGAAGGGTTTGGATTTGCAGTGCAATTGATGGGATGCGATCCAATCGAAGTCTATTGCATCCTTATCCTCACATCATTATTGCAGCATGTGGGTGTGTATGTTTGTGTGTATGAATGCATGCACGTGTGTATGCGTGCATGCATGTATGTATTTGTGTTTGGTGACATACATCTGAACCAGTCCTGGGCCTCCCCTAGGTCGACTCAGCCTCAATTGCGTACCTGGTGCGAATTTAAAACATCTGCGTTGCAGAAACCAAGGCGGCCGGACGTGGTTCTGACCACCTACCCTTCACATTTCGATTTAAAGCTTTCGTGACTGCAGGGATTCATCTTCTTGGTTTTTTCGGTAAAGTCACGTAGAAGGGAAAAAATAAAATAATACAAATAAAACATAATAAAATCAAATTCTCACGACGTTTCGGCCACAACGCAAGCAGCCGTCCTCAGGTGAAGAACAGGTCTGTCAGAAAGACAGCGTCTTTACCCTTTAATATGTCGTGCTGTTAAACACACACTTGCTCCAATATGTCTGTTAAAGGCTATACGGTGGATCTTCATCTTGCCCTGCATGCTTGTAAGTGTAAGTACACGTGTGATAATATATAGGTGTTATATTTCTCACTTTGTTGATTCCCACCATCCTTTGTGGCTGTATTGCACTTGATTGTATTGCACTCGGGTCAATGGCATTTCATCTCGGAAAATGTCTGGCAAAGCGACAGGGCTTCTAATCCAGCGCAATCTGAGCTCCCACCCATAAATTTAATCGAAACTGCATAGTGTATCTTTCTAGACATTAAACTACTCTTGCTGTTTAATCCATCCGTGGATGTTGTTGTTCATGGTTCGGGCTGCAAATCCCCAGAGACCGATCAAACAACCGCTGTCTGGAAAAACAGTTAAGGAGAACATGCAATTGTATCTTCAGACGCGTCCATGCATGTACCATACCTGTAGAAACACGTGAACCACAATCATTGATAGCACATTATGGTAAATGACAGTGATTTTCTGTACGGTTAATTGCTCATGTTGAAATACTGCGCGCAATACTGTGAGGGGTAGCCGATGTGATCCAATAAATGTTTTATACAAAGTGACGTACATTCTAAACTACATCTTATAAATGTCACCGTAGCTTTTCTTCGTTCACATGCTTTTTAAAATTGAGCGAGACATACATTATAAACCATGTACAAACTCAAGATGCCATTTAATAACCGCATTAATTATTCAAAATTCCCAATTTCAAGACGAGATTGCTCTCTGTGTGGTTTGCTATACATAATGCTGACATACAATAATGGCGTTTTATATTGTATATACAGTCTATAGATGAAGATGATGTTGATGATAGTTAACTCTTGTCTGTGCTGGCACTTATAATCATGTTTTTTTCATTGCATGTTTGGATCAATGGAAATATATTTAATCCACACAGCACACACAACTGACTTGCAAAAAGGCAAATGTATATTTGAGCGGATAAACCATGAAGTTGAATCAAAACAACTTTTCTATACTGTCATGAAAAGTGTAATCACAACTGTGTTTGTCTTTTAACTCGTAACATTTATATATATGTGTATAGGGCAATGCAGCATGATATCAACACATATATATATATAAAATACAGTACTGAATTCTACGTGCCGTATATTGTGCCTGATGTATATGTACTATGGTAGACAATAAAATGTTTTAATTCTTTTTCTGTGTTTGCTTCATTTACAATGATATAATCTAAAGAAATTGGAACCAGCTGTCAGATACAAATTTGCTGACCGATTCACGAAATGCCCCAATTGTTGAATGATGCTTCAATCAATGTTCTATTCAATAAGGGAGTTAAAACTAATCTGAATTAGCCATAAGCCTCCTCCAGGTAAACGTGGAGTTGGACTAACCTTGGACCATCGTTGGACCAAGCACTTTCAGTTTAATTTATTTGGTATAGCCCTGTGAGCCATTCGGCTCTTGAATCATGGCAACTCTGACCCAACGTTGCATGTTTACGGGGCTGTAACTCGGGGTTTCTGCTCTGATGTTGTTATCTTCCTTGTTGTGTATTGTTTTTTGTTTATTGTCGTTATGGTGACCCAGGTCACTCTTGCAAGTGACACGCTCATCCTGGTTCCTCGCGTGATCTCGCCTGGTTAAACATCATCAGCTAAACTCGAGTTGGGATGAAACTGTACCACAGCGGTTTGTGAACTGCGTTGAGAACGATTCCTTGCTATTATGGTTAACATCACTAAGTTCAAAACATATTTAAATGAAAATATATCTTGGACAAATACATGCCAGAGCACAGTAGTTACATGATCATATCCTGTTCATTTCCAGGTAAAATAATTACGAAATGCATATTTTCTTAAACAAGATGGAACACATCAATATTGCTGTTTTATCAGTATTGGTGTTGGGATTGTTTGACCATACTTCACCACGCTGGAAATCAAACTCAGGTATTCAGGTTCCTCGTACCCTAGAATGTCATCTGCTGCAACCATGACATCCAATTATTTTCTATCAACCATTATCTGTCTGCTATTGGGTGGAATAACTGTTCATATGTCTAAAAATATAGACCTCTCCAGGAACCAGGAAGCCATTTCGTTTTAACATATTCCTGCGGAGGGAGCTGGTAGGAACGTTGGGTTGCTCGGTCAAGGCCTGCAGGGTCAACGGCGGCGTGGTGTATTCCGCAAATATGGCCGACTGTGAGGGCGGGCACAAGCCGGCGTGAGTAGGTTAAACGTTGAGTTTTATAAGGGCACCACGGGGTGACCAGCCCCTCCCCACCCAGCCCCACCCCTCCCACCCTCCACCCAGCCCCTCCCCACCCTCCCCTCCCCACCCAGCCCCTCCCCACCCCACCCAGCCCCTCCCCACCCTCCCCTCCCCACCCAGCCCCTCCCCACTCTCCCCACCCAGCCCCACCCCTCCCACCCCCTCCCCACCCTCCCCTCCCCACCCAGCCCCTCCCCACCCTCCCCTCTCCACCCAGCCCCACCCCTCCCATTTTTGGATGCACGACGGACGGACACAATAATCCCCTGTGGGCTGGTGGAACCAGGTGGTTCCTACCAGTATAAGGCGATATCTGCATATCTAGTACGGCAAAAACAACTTAGACAGTGCTCTTAATGCTTATATTTTTATTATTTTATTGTTTCCCTTCTACGTGACTTTACCGAAAGAACCAAGAATATGAATATAATGCTTATACCGTTTTATTTCATTGTAAAACTTGATAATGCTCGTTTAAGCTGTAAAGTTAGGCGAAACTTCTATATATTCGTGAATTTTACTGCCTTATAAGGAAATATATAATAGGCGACGTTTTGGACGACGGTCCTTCCCTGCAGCTAATAGACACCTTGTAGCCTGATGAGAATTAGATAATTTAAATTTTCTTATGAATACTGTAGTTACACATCAGTAGCTTTTGAGTAAGAGACAACGCCCTCAAATTATAACAATTCTCGTAATAAAAGGTGCGTAGACAAAATTTGTAGTCGAAACGTCGTGATTTAATGTATTTGTTTTCTTTTTTAACCTACGTGACTTTACCGAAAAAACCAAAGAGTATTTGCAGTCGAATTAAAGTGAATTACTATTTTCCAAACGCGAAACGCGCCGTTTGTCGTGCGGCTTCCCGTCGGCCGTCTCCATGGCGACGTCGAAACAACGAGGACATTCCCATGCGCGTTCCTTCTTCACCTGCGCTGCTGTTACACAAAGTTATTAAACTTAATCGCGACAACAACAACAACAACATTAATGTCTAAAAAGCGGAGTAAGAGCGGCAGCAAAAGCGTCGCCGCGGCCCCCGCTGTCAAGTCGTGGGACGCCGCTCTGTGTGGGGCACACTTTGATGAGGTAGCTGGTTTGCTCTGCGTTTAAAACAACTTTATACATTTATACAATTACTTTATACAATTACAGTTCTTACAGAGACTCGATTAAAACAATTAAGTCATTCAACTAAGGTGCGTGTCCCGCGGCTGTCCGACGCGAGTTCGAAGTTTCGTTCATTATTTATGTGACGTAACTTTAAAAGTCACAATCCAGAGGCATCATTGGAGGGGTCTCTGTTAATGTCACAAATGTAAACAAATCAAAAGTTAATCCTCTGGTTGTACAGGAAATGTGGGCTCTCATAACCAATATTATGGTCGTTAACACCTGCTGATGCCGGCTAGGTCATCTCCAGCGAAACGTCGTATAACAAGTCAACATTTGACTTGAGCTTATCAACATCCATCCTCCTGTTTTGATGGTAAAACAAATAGATTGTCATCTTTTCCCGCAAGACAACTTGCTTTTGATGGGCTCTGTCGGGTGGTGGAGGGTTGTTATTTGTTATTTATGTATTGACATTATACGTACACGAGCTAACACAAATACAATTACTTGAATTTCGATTTAAAGCTTTCGTGACTGCAGGGATTCATCTTGTTGGTTCTTTCGGTAAAGTCAGTATTATTCCTTCTACGTGACTTCACCGAAAGAACAATTACTTGAGCTAATCCTCTTGATTTCACAGCTCACTGAGGACGTGCTGATGCAGGAAAGCCACTCTTTACCAGGAAGGTCTTGGGTTAGGTTTTAATGTATAAGATGTATCAACGGAGTGCATGGCTGTATTGAAATAGTTGTATTTCCCTTCTCATTAATTAGTATTTAACCTTGTGATTGACAGCCCTGGGCACACTGCCTGGGCACGTATCTCTTTGTAGTAAGACCTATGCTTTCGTTAACAGCTTGTGTGTATTTTGATTTAAAGCTTTTGTGATTGCAGGGATTCATATTCTTGGTTCTTCCGGTAAAGTCACGTAGAAGGGAAATAATAAAATAATAAAAATAAAACATAATAATTCTCACGACGTTTCGGCCACAACGCAAGCAGCCGTCCTCAGGTGGAGAACAGGTCTGTCGAGAAGACAGTCTGAATGAAACACCCCAGGCTTGGAGCGACTATTTAAGCTGGGTGGGAGGGGGAAGAGCGCCTTGACAAAATAATTTGCATATCAAGAGGAATTTAGCATATTTATGGGAAATGCAGATATGCGATTAGTACTACTTGTGAAATGCGTAGGAGGTTTGGCGAGGGGTTTAAAGTCAATTATGCCTGTGCATTATGCAGGATTAGCAGCATCAAAGGGAGGGGATAGGGGCTAGGCATGAGCAAATGTAAGAACGTCGTGGCAAGGTGCGGTTGCTTCAACAACAACATTTGCCGTGGTAACCCCCAGAGTCTACACCTTGCTTGCAGTGGCTGGTGTCTATAATCCAGTCACTTGGACGTGGGGTGGCTTACACAACATTAATCCCATTGAGATTCCTGGCTGTAGCACTGTGTGGCTATTTTTCGATTTAAAGCTTTCGTGACTGCAGGGTGGATTTTTACACTAACGCAGAGGAAGTTCGAGCCGAATTAAATAATCTATTCAGCAAAGTCGCTTCAAATATGACGTTTCTATACAGAAAGTGACGGTAAAAAATAAATCTACGCAGCACTGTGCTACATCTGTGCGTGACGTCACTGCAAAAGAGCCCCCCCCCCCCCATCTTCATTAATATTTATGCCCGCGTGGAAATTTACACTAACGCACAAGAAGGTGCGTTAGTGTAAATTTTGGTGCGGCATGTGGAGTGCACTAACGTGCACTCCACATGCCGCACCCCTCCCCAATAACCATTAGCAGGTGACGTCACTCCACATGGGGCAACCCCCCCTCATTAATAATCATGAGCTGAACAATTTTTCTATTGAATATTTCAGATTTACTGCAATATACACCCGTCCTTGGACGGGCAGTACCCACTATAATCACCCAGGAACGTCCTTAACGTTCGTGACGTCACTCCACATCGACCAGCACCCCTGATTAATAATCATTATAAGGTGACGTCCTACAAATTGGCACCCCCCCCTCTATTATTAATAATTAGCGGGTGACGTCACTCCACATGGGGGGGGGGGGCGAGGCGCTCCCTCCCCCCTCCTCGGCGTCAACTTACAACCCTCACTACAAAGGCCGAATCCTCACGTCACGTGATCTCCGTAACGCTGTTGAGACATCAAAGTAAAAAGGACGGCATGATGAACAAGGGATTATAACCTTGAAATGAAATAGGTCTGTGTCACCGCGCCGTTACTAATTGCACACGAATTGATGCAATGAATATAACGTCGCGGTCTGCTTTTCGCTTGCAAGTTTCAGATTTACTGCAATACACCCGTCCTTGGACGGGCAAAAGGCGAGTGTTTATATAAAGCAGTACTGGAGGACATTGATGACCGTTGTGTAGCATAGCTTGAATGTTATGTCCTTGTAAATGTGGACTATATCTGAGCACTCCCACTTGCAAAATTCTCCCCACACAAAAATCCATCCGCATACAAAATGTTATTTAGGGACTTGGCTAGATATCCTGAGCAGGGTTCAGCTAGGCTGTTTCATCTATCAGTAATTAACAAATTATTGATTACTATTATAAATCATTTTAAATTAATATCAACGAAAATTACATTTTACTGTGCTGCATTGAATCACCAAATTACTGTAAAGAGAATGTCAACAGTGCACCATATCACATCCTGTATATGTAGGTTTTCATGAGTGAGCCACTGATATTAGCTGTCTACTGCTAGTCCTGAGGCGCTTTCAAACTGAGAATTGGCACAACTACATTGGAATTAGTTACAACTACAAAAAATAATCCCAATTTTTTTTATTTGGGCTTCCAAAAATTATGGCCTGGAGAATGGTTTCATTCATAGGGCACACTAAGCATGAAGGTCTTTAATAAAGCGTTCTGTTAAACTGAAAAAAATAAATGACCTCTGTAATCAGTCAACAAAATAATTAGCTGCTTGTGGAGTGTCAAGGAGTGTCATGCCAAAGTGAGCAAAATCTAGTGCTACCTGCTTCTAGCAAATATATAATACTGAACCATTTTCAAGGCTATGTGCAAGAAAAGGTCTATCATTGGTTTCATGAACAGTAAAGACAATTCAATGTTTAGAGTGTCTGAATGCAACCACATTTAAATGTACTTTTCAAATATGGGAGACTACATGAGGTTAGAGGTGGGGTGAGATTGGTACAATGAGCGTGGAAAACATGGGAGAAAAAAAGAGTCCTGCATGAAACAACCAGGGGGCTAAGCACCAACGACAAGCCACATTCACAGCTGAAACAGCCAAAGCAGCACCAACAAATACCTAGGCATGCTCAGATGGCCGGGTCCATCACCAATAAGTCCCACACGCTGCTGGGGCAGTTAAATATAATGGATAGGGAGTTGGAGGGGGGGGACCAGGGAAAGTTTCATTTGTGCAGCGGCAACATCATTGGCATGCAGTTCCGTCAACCTAAAGTGAGGTCCGGAGTAAAATATATTTATAGATGGAATTTTCCCTTGGTTCCCTTTATAAATTTGTGTAAAGGTAAATGTCTTCAGCGAAAGTGGGGTCACTGCGGTTCGGTGGGAATTTGGTCATACAGGATGGCTGGCAGGCGAGTGTCGCCATGGTCGTGTGCGGGCGAGTCGAGGATGAAGCTCACATCCCAGCGATGCTGCAAGCGATCAGGGTCCCCCTTCGCCGCCTCTTCACCGCCATCACCTGGGATGACGTGATGACTCAGGTACAATTTTCTCTGTGCTGTATCGACGAATGGGCCTCGCTTTGCTGATGTGTCACAGAGTGACAACCTGTCCAGAGTTTGCTTGATTAAAGAAATGTGGTCAGGCATCATTTATCCAAAAGGCTTATGTGCCGATATACTGCAACGTTTTATTTCATGATATTAACATGGCATAATTTACCATTATATACATATTTATATTACTATATTATTACATTATGGTTATTGCATGATGTCTGCACATCATCTTAAATTACATCGTATTTCCCAGTGTGAAATACGTTATGAAAGTAAATGCAATTTATAGGCAATAAACATGCACATATTTTTTGAAGTTTTTACATGTTCACCAACCTCTAAAAAACATTTTGTTCTGTAAGAGAAATGCGTAACTCATTGCTTGTGCCCTGTTATTGTGGCCTCACAACTGGGGGAACGTTTATTATAATTATTCAGATTAATGAGCTCGGAAACCCCAAAGGGAAGAGACCCAAGGACCTTCCCGTTTTTTATGAGGTGAGTGACCTAGATTTTAAATTGACCCTTTATCATTTTTCCAGTGCTGTGTGAAGAGCAATTCTTCGTGTACCACCACCTGGTCTCCAGTTTATAGCATACACATGCTCTTGTTAGACAATTTTACGATTGTGTTCTATGCCTGGCATCGTCGTAATGCATAATTTAATTTGTCATTCACATTTGCACCAGCACTGTATTGCATTTTGCTTGTTGACTAATATAACAATTCTGGTTTGTACCTTGTCAGCAGCTCAGACCAACATGCTTTTATCAGAACATGATAATAACAAACATCTAGATACAAACTCATCTCGAGATGCTGCACAGAGCAACCACGCAATATGCACCGAACAATTAAGCAAACCTAAACAATAATTTGTCAGATTGAGGAGCGGCATGACGCACCAGGCACAAGCTGTCACAACTACCGCAACCCCATGCTGATGGTAATTATCTTAAATCACAAGCATGATGCACGGACCTGTTGCGTGTGCGTGATATTGTTTAACATTGTCACAGATTTTGGAGGTAGCCAAAACTGCGGTGGATGCCGGTCAGGCAATCTCGCTCCCTGTGCTGGCCAAACTCATCAAGTTTATGCTGCTGGGAGTCAAGCAAAAGGACCAGCAGTGGCGTGCGGCCGAAAAGAAGGTTTGTGAAACCCCAAATTAAAAGCCAGACACAAACACAAAATCAGAATGAATTAATATTGTTGAGTACTTGGAATTTAACACAAAGAGCCCTTTAGATGTACATTAAAACCTTGGATTGCGAGCATAATTCGTTCCGGAAACGTGTTTGTAATCCAAATCACTAATATATCAAAGCACTCGTATATCAAATGTGGAAATGTGACGCTCGGCAGAAAAAGCGTATTCGTACTACTCGTATTGAAAGATCTCGCTCGTTTATCAAATTAATATTTATTTTAATTTTTTGCTCATCTTGCAAAACACTCGCAGACCAAGTTGCAATCCAAGGTTTTACTGTACACAATTTTTTTGCTTTTTTCAAGAGTGTACATTTTAAACATAATGCACTCAACGGTTAACGTGAGCCAGATGAAACAGCTCTGCTTTGTTTTTCCATGTTCCATGTTGCAACGTACAAGTTCTGAATGTGTATTGTGCATGTGGACGGACTGACTCACCCTCATCCTAACTACACACTTGGGAACTTTCCATTCTCCTGCCTTTCAGGGTGTAGGGTAAATTTACTTGCCACAATTCTTCAAACAGCAAAACACAATAAAAGTGATATCTATAGTAAGCTAGATCATTGTTTAGTATTGGGATATATTGTGGTTTGTTTAAGTGCAGTAAATATTTGGGGCTGTCCACCAAGCAGATGGTCAGCAAAGGTTGGTGGGAGGTCACATGCTAAAACGAAGATCTTTAAAAGTGTATGATGAGCTGTGACTTGTTTAGTGTGAACTGCAATTTAGCCATACCCGTCTCTGTCTCCTGGAGGCCTGGTGCCAATTGTATTTTCCTCCTTGTAGAGGCGGCGTGATAAATCATGTGAATCGTTAAACTGTCAATTTTAATATGCTAGTTTTCAGGTCCTGCAGAGGTTACCTCTAGATTCAAGGTGAGCTGTCTCAACCTCAAATCGACCCCTTTTGATAATAAAAAACCTGCCTCATTCATTTATTATTAAAGTTTGATTACAGCCTAACATAAAATTTAATCTGTAAAGCGGCTTGTGTTTGTATGATCTTTATGATTTTGCAGGCAGCTGAGGACAAAGCCAAGGAAATGGCAGAGGTAGATTGTGGTAAGGAGCCGGTGAAATCCCCGGTCAAAAATAGAGGGAAGAGCGCCAAGGGGAACAAAGGCAAGAAGCTTCCGGAGCCACCCCAAATCAAGAAGGACACCAAACTCACGCGGCGTGGAGAGCAGGAAGAAGTCAAGAGTTTCATCGGTGGGTCTCAGGAATCAAAGATCAGCAACTTTGATGCTGTGTTATGTTTAATACTGTCGCTGTATAGCCTTTTGATTGTCTTATGATTCCTAACGAGCAAGTGTGCGAATACTGCTCCTAAGTGTGCATGGAGTGAACAGCTGATATTACCATAGCTGCCTGGACATTTCATTGTGGGAATGTAACAAAGTGTAATTTATCATAAATATACTGTTGCATAATTTGAAAGAGTATGTCATTGTGTGTAAAATGTCAAACATTTTCTACAAAATGTACTAAAATAACAACCAGCCTTATGTGCTTATGCTTACCAATCTCTCAGTAGGTAATAACAAAATGTACAGCCCATAATTAGGATGAAGGGTTCCCCATACCATGTGGTCATTGAGGTTGTTTGACCATACTTCGCCATGCTGGTCAGTGGAGATTGGTGAAGTGGTGGGGGGGGGGAGTTCCCAGGACTGGTTTTAGGTATCACTCACCCCTGATGTTCACCATCGGTGGCAATCAAATCTGTACTGCGAGGTCTATTGCACAGTGCATTAACCACCGTGTCACTGTTCTCCCTTTAGTTGATAGTAATGCTTTTTTTTAATAGAGCATATGCTTGGTAACATATATTCTTTTCGGCCATCTTCGGTGTTGTTCAGATGATGAACCGGATGATGGACCACAGCACTATGTGTTCCTGATGGGCTTCCTCCAGCCACAGCTGCTGCCGATGCTGAAGGAGCTGGGGGTCACAGTGTCGGCCGTCATATGTGTGTCGTCGCAGACATACGCTGAGGACAAGCCAGGTGCGGAAGGAAGACTGCTCCTATGCCACTAAGCACAAGCGCGTGCAACAGAAATGTTAAACAGCTGTGATCTGTCACTCAGTGGCGGTGATATAGCCGAGAGTCCAATTTGTGACTGTGATGCGACATCTCAGATCGTGAATGACTGCCCAATCAGATCATTCATCGGATATCTGAAACAAATCCACGCACCCACTCCTGAAGCAGTCGGAATGGATATCAAGTCTCGACATCAGTCTGTAATTTGTTGCAATCCCCAAAAATGCCATACACGTGGAGTGGTAAAGGTTCACGGGGAGAAGGACAGAGCACATACCCAAATGCTATGGGTTAATAGAGCAGTGTGGCTGGCAGTTGAACCAACTGCACTTTGCAATGTGCCAACTCCTTGTGATGTAGCTGCCACAACGGCGCTTGTGCGAGTACTTCTCCTCCGCCTGCCATTGTTACTGGAGAGAAACTGCTACCAGCCACATCGTGTATACTTTCATAGCCTCCTTCACAGAGACTGGATCTTAACACCTCTGGTACTGTCCAATGATAAGTCTACTCAATTCGAAGTTCCCTGGTGCTACATGTAACACACATCAATGAGTTATTAGTTGAGTAAAGTTTTTTTGAAGGAAGGTCGATATCAGATTTGTGGCAGCATGACAAATGGGCATGCACTGGCACTGTAGGCACATTAGCTTTGCATTAAAATAGCCAAATATCAAATTTTTAATTAACGTTTACAGTAGTCTTAGTAAATTGCAGGGAGCTTACGTAAAAAAAATACCAGTTTCTGATTGCAAACACGTTCTTTTGTCGAATCAGTGAACACATTGATACATAAATTGACAAGTCAAACATCGCCTGGGATTGGCATTTCCCACTGTAATGTAACTATGTTTGTGACCTCGCTGAATATAAACCGTGAATATATTTTTTCCCCATAGAGGAGCTGCTTGCCGGTCGGGTCGAGGAGTTGCAGGCCTTCTGGAGGTGTCTGTCACCTGTGTTGGAGGGCGTGGGCCATGGTTACAGCCTGGATACAGTCGCACGACTGAAGTACACAGTCCACGACTCACTGCTCCCAGAGGATCCTGCTGACCAAAACACCATGGTAAGCAGGCATGCTAGTGCGGTTGGTGCCACGAATATCTTCACACCTAACAGCACATCACTTACACCAACAGTCTTTATATGGGGGGTCGTTTTGATATTTTCTATATATAGGCATGTGTGCGTATGTATGTCTGTTCACTTGCAGGCAGAGTTTGGTGCCGCCCTATTTGAGGACATGGCATGCCTGATGTATGACCTTCTGGACTGGCGACAGCACTATCGCCACTACCTCAACAGCATGGAGCTTCTGCAGATTCCCACCGTAGGGCAGTCACTGGTGAGAACTGGAAATGAAGCCACGCAAGCCTCTGAGGTCAAATGCTAATGTCATACTTAAGGATGCTTGGTCTCTACAGATATGCATAACTTAGTCCATTTAACTCAGTGTTCACTTTACAGGCCTACAGCCTGATGGCAATTGCTCCAGTTGTGGACTTATGGGTAGACTTCAGTACTCACAGTGGAGTGACTACTTAGAAAACCTAATTTATTTACAGAATATTCATGACAAATTCTAAGGTTTAAGACAATCTGTTTCGTTGCAGACATGGAATTACAATACCACCATACTTATGTTAGGTTCTGTAGAATATCATGAAAGTTTTTTTAAATAACAAAATCACCGGCATCCACTAACCCACCCCAGAGGCTGTTAAATGGCTTCATCATTTCGATATCCACATATATCGTTGCTCATATCAGTTTGCTTTGTGAAAATAGAGAAGACTATTTTTGTATTTTGTGATTGATCACTTTTTTTTCTGCTCATCAAGGTGCATCAAACGAGAGATTGTTTCGTCTATAAACTTAGATGATCATTTTAAAACTAATGACGCATGTATTCACCAGGTACAAAATGGAATGTCAGCAAATAGCAAGAGAAAGGGGCAGTCGTCAGAAACCACAGGCCTACCTCCTCCAGGTGACAATGTTTTCAAAACTCCGCTGTATGATTATTTTTCCATATCAGTAAAAAAAAGTAGACCATTGCACATAGTTTGAATCTCAATAATGGGCAGCAAAAACACCTGGTTAATCAACTTAGCTTGTTTGACTGTCAGCATCTTCATTGCATTTGCCGTGCTTGTTTCTTTTTTTGTGAATGCATATTCTGTTTCAAAGTAATAGAGGATCCTTCTGCGGTGGACATGAGATTTTATCGGGACCTGCTGGATCCAATCCCGCCGGAGTGTGTGTCGGTGCCTCTGATGATCCATTGCATTCTGGAACAGGTATAATCTGCTGTAACTCGTGTACAGGCCAGCAAGTAAGATATACACGTGTGCTTGTGCTTCAGACTCTAATATAAAACTCGGTAATGCTTTGTCCTCTTGTTGTTTGTACAGTACCCTGATTATGTTTATAACATTGATAATTATTAAATGCTGATGACGTTGTAGTTTGCGCACCGTGATCTGACTCCAACGACTTGGGTTTTATTCCCAACAATCATTCACGTGAGTGGCGAGTGATGTTTGAACCAGTCCTGGGCATCCATCCACGCATTCACTACCCCACATTGCCCAGCATGATGAAGTTTGGTCATGCAGCCCTATGACCGTCACAGCTCAGGGAAGCCTTCATTTAGCAGTAGATAGAGACAGGGCTGTATATGATTAATGTAATTATATTAATTGATGATGCTGACTATATTGCAAATATTAACAGTGGAAATAGCTATGTTCTATTATTTGCTCTGGCGTGATGATGATGATGATGTTAGTAATTGAGGTGATGATGATTCTGATGTTTGATGACAGGTGGTGGCAGCAGAGGAAGGTCGTCCCCCACCGAGCCAGCTGAGAGACCCTCCACGTGCCGATGGATTAAATCCCGATTTGGCCAAATCGCTATCAGCAGCTGTCAACCGTTTCCCCTTGTCCCCAGATGATAATGAGGTCAGGACCCTGTTTTACCAAACTTCCTACCCTTACCACCATTGACAAAAACACGTGCAAAGAGTTACATGTTGTGTACATTACACCAGTATTAAGTTACACACAATTATACAGGAGTAACATTTTCATCTGCTATGATTAACAGTTGTATGTCTCTGTGTCAGTAATGCATTATGCAGCATTACAAGATACAAGTGTGCTGAAGGATTGTTTAGATGTAGTGAATTGTATCTTAGTACCAAGTCAGGTGGATGGTAACGGTGGTGAAGTTCTTTGAACTCAGCGACCTGGCCATGGCCAAAATAAGAAGCAAGTGATGGTCTGCATATCTTTCAAATCAAGGGAAAAGCTATTGAGTTATTTTGCAAAAGAAGCACACGTGTTGTTTTTTAAACGTGCTTGTGGTGTTTACAGTCACTGGCTGCCTTATTTGGGACATCACTTCGCAGTCTGGGCCAGGAGCACATCAAACCAAAGATTCTTAGTTTCAACGATGAAATCACAAGCCGCACTCATCACCTTCAGGTATTTACATTTCATGTGCCATAAAACATGGTTTAATATTATACACACAAATTCAGTCATTAGCAACCTAAACTTCAGCCTTCATACCACATACATGTCCATAAATATAATGTTTATATTGTGTTTCATTAATGTGTAAATTAGATAACATGCATATTGTATATGCATCATAATTAGTAGACTTCACAATCTTAATAATGACTTGAGCACAGCGACAAGTGTTTTGGAATGATTAAATATGTAATGATCCACTCCCCCAGTGATTCACTGACCTGTAACAATTTAGGATCACTGTTCAATTCTTGTATTCATATTTTGTGGTGCTTAGGAGGCTCAGGGGTTGGAGCAATGAGCCAGTATTGTTGGGATTTTGGGTTTGAAAGTGGGAAATCACCTGTGGTTAAATTGTATTTTTAAGTGTGGCGAGTTATTGGTCTGAGCCTGGGTACCAATGACTGTGTAGAAAAGCCGTCGTATACATTTATTTATTTTTCACTTAATATGGTTAAATTCTGGATCTGAGAATTAAAAATATTGTTTTGACTATAACGCAGCAATTATCTCATAACAGCGTGTGTAGGAAATTTATTTTAATTGCTCCATGTTTGGCAGGGCATCGACCAACACCACCAATCCAGTGAGCTCAGCTCCATGCCCGATACATGCTGAAACCTGGCCATTGAATAGCTATGCAGTGCAATGTGTGTTTCTGTGTGTGCCTGCAGGCTGCAGATGGGTTAGATGTGGCTCAAATTGAAAAGGACATGTTGAGGCGCCTCCCCGTGTGTGGAATACTCCTTGATCCCGGCCTCCATAAAGTGGACAACGCATCCAGGGTTCGGGCCCAGGAGTTGCTGCAGTACTGCTCCGGTGCACACGGTCTGAATTATGCCTCAGTTGTTTGTACATTCTCCACATGGTAAACTACCAATGACATTATTTATCTCGCAGCATGAAAATATTAGCTCGCAAGTTTGGAAATTTTAAGTACGAATTCCAAATTATTGTACAAAAATAAAAATAAAATCACCAAAAATCAAACTAATTTCATGAAGTTGTTTTTATTTCCATAATAGTTTTTTAAATATGTTATTACTCGTCAGCAAAATATTTGCACAAATACTGGCACGCATGCAACCTCTGACATGCGTGGAAAATAATATTGCTAGTGCGTAAACGAGTGTCTACGTCTGCGCGTTTTCAGGCTGTGCAGGTCAAGTCGAACAGGCATCCACGCAGCACGCAGTGCGCCAGTTTGTCTTTGAGAACCTTGAACTGTCGTCCGTGGATGAGGCGGGGGAGCTTACCGTGGTCCACCAAGCAGACAATGTGTCCCTAGCATGGGACAACCCCTTGGATTTTGCCAAGAATGTCCAGCGACAAAATAGGGTAAAAGATGTGCATGGATCTTCAAGCGATGGAAACGCAGGTGATTGAAAGGGTGCATGGAATTGAACCCACAGGGAAGTGGGAATTAGGAATATGATTGTGTTATGGTCATCTCTGATTAAGGCCTGGGAATAAAATAATTGATTGCTTGTTAGTGGCCTCTTATAAAAATATTAATTATAATTTACTCAGGGATGCTTCCATTGTGTAAGCCACTTCATTGAGCTTACCTGGTAAAATATAAATAGTTAATCGTATTTGTGTAGGAAAACCTAGCGTGTGCAGAAAAAACCAATACATATGGGGGAAGAAGGCTGATATTGTACAAAATGTCACGACCATACTTGATGTGTTATCATCTAAAGCATCTTGTTCCCCTGCAAGTGGATCCCTCTTGTATATAAAATCTACAATAATGCACTATTGCTCCCAGAAAAATATAGTCTCTGAGTAAAAATATCTTCCCTCATGTTAGCTAAAAGAAACCTTAGCTGTATTAATTTTTTTATTTAAACAGTAAGTTACTGAGTGTAAATATTGGGGCTTGTTTAAGTGGGCACACAACCAATGACACAAGTAGGTTGATTCACATGTGCTTTAAAAGGAAATCATATTCTGCCAAATAGAAGTTTTTACAATCATTTACTTTCTTACATTTTCATTGTATTTAGATAATATGGCCACACATTCAAAGCAATGATTTATGAAGTACAAATGGGAAAAAAAGTCATCCCCGTTCAATAATTAATAACACAGAATGAAATAAAATGCAGAAATAACAAGAAAACATGCGTGAGAGAAAGGGATGGAGTGTGAATCTGGGCTGTGGGCAGCGGAGCCAGAGAGTATGATTACGTGTGTGGCCCTTCTAAATGTTATTTTAATTTGTACTCTTCACTGCCGGTTTGTCTTGCAGCCATTGCTGATTCAGTATTATGTTATGTAGGCCCAGCATTATCACTTATTTATCTATTGAACTCAGGACTACCGCATGATCATGGCTGCATGCATGGAAATAATGCCCTACGTTTTGCTAAAATAGCAGAGAATTGCTTAACAAATGGCTATCCTTTCACTGTGTCTTCCTCATGGTCACAATGAACAAACAATATGTTTTCTTGTGTCCATAACAGATGTTTCAGCCTCGCATGTAGATGATCAAGAGACACACAAAGAGGACGACTTGGTAAGCCACTGGCTGCAATAATATGATTAACTATTAAGTTGTGCACAAGCATCCCATGTTTGCAAGTTACACGAGCACTTGTGAGAGTAGCACGTTCAAGCCATCAGGGAAACACTTGTAGCCCCATTGGGTTTAATTATACCACTGTAGCACCAGTCTGAGCTGGTCGTAGACCCCATTAAAATGCAATATATAGATCTTATCTACTATCCGATAAAACAAACTCCTACATGTATTGTGGTGAATAATGATAATGTAATTGGATAAACAATGTTTCAATCTTGTTTTGTGCGAGAGTTGGCGATGAAATTACTCAAATCAAAACCGTTTAATGGGCATGTACATTTGTTAATTTATTACCATTGATTTTTGCCCTCGCAATACAGTAAAGTAAAATCGTATACATATTTTGGAAATTATATGCAAATGAATGGAGTGGACTGAACAATATTGCACCGATTTATTCTTGCATCAAACCATAACCCTGTTTCATGATAATTAAATCACTGTGGAAGTGAAGTAAATGACAAGTGTGTAGATTATTCTGTCGGAGTTGAACTGTAAAGTTGAATCCAGTGGCTTAGTGGATATATTTATATATATTTTTATCTCACAGAATGTGGAGATTGAGAAGCTTCAAGAGACACAGTTGCGGTGTCTGGACGATTGGAACTACACGGAGCGCTACGAACCTGATGTACTAATACAGGTGAATATTTGTAGTAATGCTATAAACACTGATTTCAGGTACCAGACTTTATGTACCATTACAATAATAAGAATAATGCAATTTATAATGCGCACAATATTTCACGGATATAAATGATAGTGACATTGAGGTATGGAGCCCAGCTCAGTGTCACTTGAAAGACAGGCGGTAGAGGTAAGTCTTTAAGTGGCTCTTAGAAGGAGATGTAAGTTGAACGCTACTGTGAATGTGCAGCAGCGGGATGGTGTTCCTGACCGCGGAGACTGCAACAGAGAAACAATGTCTCGCAGTGACAGTCCTGGTCCTTGTTACACAGATGAGGTTGTGAGTCATGCTGCGTATAGCAGTGCAAGTTACCAAGCTTTGTCTATTTTGTATATGGTACAGTCAGTTATAATAATACAAATGATGCTTGCTGAGCACAGACGCAGAGGTTTGCAGCAAACAGCAGTATTGAAGGTGTAATTGATACAGTATAGTTAATTTATTTGGGAAAAATAAATTATGGGAGGGAATTCTACAGTTGAGCAGTGGAAGGAAGGAAGAAAATCTGAATAATACCATGAAAAAGTTTTCACATTTTTTCACAATTTTGTTCAGAAAGGTCATTCAATATCCTTTGGAAAGTGCTATATTTATAATTGAACTATACAAAACAATGGTTGCATTTTCAATTGCTAGTATAACAGATGGATAGATCAGTGTGATGATTCGCATACGATGAACCTATCCATGTGGTTTCAATTCGTGGCCACAACTAACAGTAGTGTGGTGAAGCTTGGTCAAACAAACCCCTATCACTTTATGCATGTACGTTGAACCTCTTTCGCACCGTACGTAGCCAACCATGCTAATTGGAGGTGTGGGGGAAGGACAACAAACTAAACACAAAAAGCAGCTCTAAAGAAATTAGTTTTCAATCTAGATTTAAGAGTGCACAGTTCCAGTGGCTTCCTAATATTGGAAGGAAGAGCGTTCCAGATGGCCGCAGATGCACATTTGAAAGCGCGCCAAGCAGTGACCATCTTTGTTCGATGCCCAGCCAAAAGCCACTGTGAGGATGACCGGAAAATTACATGGCATTGGGAAGTCTTCATCCAGTATAGATTGACAAACAGCCGTAAATTATTATGTATTTGTAGGTAACATATACTGTGTATATGAGTTTGTAGAAGAGTGACGTAGAGGCAGGCGCTCTGTGGTGTTTGCCGGCGTGTTTACATTTTGACACTGAGTGTTTGTGATGTTTGGGGCGGCGACATGGCCAAGTGGTTGAGTGTTTGCCACTCGATGTAGAGGTTTGTGGTTGAAGCCCAGCGGCCATCCTAATTAATACTGCAGGTCTATTAACCGTAAACAGGAGCCATCTGCTACAGTGGGCGTTAAAGATCCTGTGACGTTATTAAAAAAAAACCTGGCCATCTGTGCCTGGATAATTTAAAATGACTCACAGATGTACTAGCATACTACAGTATTCCACGTTATTGCTTTCCGCGATTTTGGGTATCCTTGAATCGCATCTGGAACTCTACAAGACTGCATCGAGAGAAAAAGTGATGAGATAAAGTGATGAGAGATATGTCATTTTCATAATAATAGCAAGTTTGACTACATACGGTGCGAAAGAAGTTCAACATACATACGTAATTCATTAAAAAGATAGGTTTTCATAGGCCAATATCATTATCACGAAATTTGCTATTCATAAGTATCTCCGGAACGTATCCATTACGAATAACGAGGAAATACCGGATTTGATTGTGAAAACCAATTAGTAACATGGCCCCCTGCTGGCAGATGAATGCCCATTTGTAGTCCATTATTGCATACACGTGCTGCGTAGGGATGGTTGCCACTGGGGTTTCCTTTGCTACACTACAGTAGGGTATTCCAATGTTGGTGAGGCATATAAGCACCCACTAAATTAAACTTCCTATCATCTTTGCATGTGTGTGTCCATAGGCGTTGGTGGAGGCAAGCGAGAGGTACATCTGCGTGGATACCTACCGCTTGCATCTGGATGGATCTCTGCTTCTGTTCTTCCACAATCCAATGTCTGAGGAATTGCAGAGCCTGGAGTACTGGGACATTGCTCTCCACACCAACGTCAGCTTTAGGTGATTATCAACCATCTGTGTCAACCTAACCATTCATATATTCCAAAATGCAGTGATATATTCACATACAATGTATATTAATGAATCTAAACATCGTCTCATTTGTTGAATAATGGCTGTAGTTTATAATTTATACAATCCGTTTTGCCTGCAAACAGACTTGGGCCACATTTAAATGAAACTCTCAGTCAATATTATTACGTTTACACGCGTGTTAGCTTCTACAATAAAATAATAAACACGTGTATATCGACTGCTAACAGCAACGTGCTGATGCACTCATCGGAGCTGTTATCAAAATTAATATAGCGATTTATTCAAAGTGGTGGACCTTCACTCGGTATTGATTTTAATAAGAGACATTGTATTTTAAGCATGATCACAGGTGCATTGCAAATTAATTGGTGCCATATAGCTCTTACGCTTCTTAGTATAGTCAGGAATTGATCAACGCCTAATAATGTTCATTGCAGATTAATATATATGGATGAGCCAGTGGGGATGGCTACAACAGTAGCTTGATAACTATCTGAATGCTGTGGAAAAAATTTATGTGGTTCACGGTTTTAGTTTGGTGAATACAGTCACACTCATCTTCTTGGTTCTTTCGGTAAAGTCACGTAGAAGGGAAGTAATAAAAAAAAAACATAATAAAATAATTCTCACGACGTTTCGGCCACAACGCAAGCAGTCGTCCTCACGTCCTCACGGCTGCTTGCGTTGTGGCCGAAACGTCGTGAGAATTATTTAATAATGTTCTATTTATTTATTTATTATTATTATTTTTTACTTCCCTTCTACGTGACTTTAACGAAAGAACCAAGAAGATGAATCCCTGCAGTCACGAAAGCTTTAAATCGATACAGTCACACTGTCGACTATTAATTTTCTGTTGACGCTCACTCACCACTAACAGGGACTACCTGGAGCACGTTGCTGAATTACTCACGGACTGGCTGCGGGGCCAGGAGAACACAATGGGACCCATTGCGCCGAAGGCGAATGCCATGAGCCTCCCAGTTCCTGCCACTCCCACCGCTAAGTCCAAGCCTGGCAGCGGAAGGAAGAAGTCAAAGGAGAGGTCTCCACCTCGAAGTGAGTGCATCAGAAGCTGAGACAACACGGCACCGCTTTTATGCAGGATCAGTGACCTGAAAAATGGCTCCATGAGACAGTAAATATGAATTATTTTCAACCCCTTGTCAATCCACTGCTGGATGAAGGATGAAGGCCGCCTCATGCAAAGTTTTTGTTTCGGGGGTTGTTGTACCATACTTTACCACGGTGGTCATTGCGAGTCGGGGTACACAGCACCAGTTTAGATATCACCACTGATTTTTGCTGTGGGTGGGAATTGAACTGCTCCACCCATTAAGTAGTCTTCTATCTACGTGATCTGTATATGTTCTTATCAGGCAGAAAAGGCAGTGCAGCCGTGAAGGGTGATAAAGCAGAGGAGCCTCCACCCCTTCCCAAATACAGCAGCTCCTTTGTTCGCGAGGGCTCCTTAAAGGTACTGTGTGCACACTCCGATGAAATGTTTTATTTTTAGTGCACAGCAGTGAAATGAGGGTGACACTGGCATATCACTTGAGAATAATAATAATTCATACCCTATTGTATGTATGTACGTTGAACTTCTTTCGCACGGTATGTAGCCAACCATGCTGATTGGAGGTGCTATTGGTCAATCCACTCCTGTATGAAGGCCCGCCCGGGTTGTGTGACCATGCTTCACCATGCTTGTCAGTGTGGGTTGATGAAAGAGGGACCAGGACTCGTCAGACATCACTCACCCACTGATATTGTCTGTGGCGGGGAATCAAAGTTGTGTGACCGGGTTCACAGCATAGTGCACCAACTACCGCACCACCTCTCCTCCACAATTGAGAATATGTGGCTGAAATAAAATAACTTCATATGTATCTGATCACATGCTAAGATAATAAACTATATATTTTTTAACAAAAAAAAGATAATTGGCAAATGCCAACCATTTGGGCCTACTAAGCCTGGATTACATTGAGTAGGCGCCTGGGGTTGTTCATGTTTGGGGGTTCTTCTTTATAGATTCAATTCCTTCCCTTCACACCACCCATGCCTGATGCCCAACACTCCATTGATATTAGCTCATCTTATCCGTATTTATCTTATCTTGTATGTATCTTATTTAGTATTTATCTTATCTTGTATGTATCTTATCTTATATGTATGTTGAACTTCTTTCGGACCATACGTAGCCAACCATGCTAATCGGAGGATAAATAAAGATTCTGATTCTGACCTGGATCAAGGACTTTAGTCCCTGCATTCATTCGGCCCTCGAACCTGTGTGGGGGGGAAGGGTTCGTACGTTTGAGATACCGAGTGGTTCAACCGATTCCTGGACCTCACAAACGCATAGGCGTGGAAGGAGGAGCGCGAGAGGGCTCGTCAAGATGCCGAGGAGACGGAGAGGGTGAGGACGGCCAAGAAAGGCGGCGGTAAAAGGGACAAGTCGCCCGGCAAGGCGCGCAAGGACGACAAGTCGCCCGGCGGACGGCGCAGCTCTGCGAGGAGCAAGTCGGCGGCATCTTCTCCGCCGCGTTCCGCCTCCAAGCGCTCCCCCCGGCAGAAGGAGGAGGCGAAGAAGGAGGCGGCGCCACCCGCCGAGACCCCCCGGACGCCACCTGCTGGGACCCCACGCCCCGGGACGCCACCTGCCGCTCCTCGGCAGCGCTACCCGGTACGTGCCATGAGCGGAAACGGAGCAGTCGCTTTGGTTGATGGAAGTCTTCAAAAGGTTCAGCATATGCCATGAAGGTTAATGCAGTTAAACAAATACAATTATTCACACGGAAGGATGTATTGTCAATGAAAGATACCTATAGTATATAGCATGTGTCAACATATTGATCCATGTAGAAATATTTTTGTATTTCCTTTCCATATTTAGTGACTGTTAATTGAGAAGGATGAGACAGCTGTTTGTGTTCAATATATAGAATCTTACATGTGTACAAATTTAGCACTGATGTATCCTTAAGTATTAAATGGTAAGATATACCCGGACATGTTATACACATTATATACAGTACATGTATCTGCTGCTGGACAAGGCCCTCCATATGTCGCGAGGGTGTGGGCTATTTGGCCATGGAAGCCTTACCGAGTCATTATTTTAGCAAAAGTGTGCTTGGCCAATTTGATTGATTAACATTAGGCATGTGGGAGGAAACTGGATTACATAGAGACATTTTATGCATTTAAGGGGACAATACTTCAAGGTCATAGATAGGGTCATGAATTCATTTGCCTTCTGGACACCTCGCATCCCAGTGGCTTTTAGAGTTTGACACTTGGTGTGATCCACCGCCTCTTATATCCAAAGTGCAAGATTATAGGCTTGCACCACCAGTGGCATATTTCTGTTAGAGAATGAATGGTGAAATTATACATTTCATTAAATGAACACATTACATATTCTTGTGATTAGTAGTGTATAACCAATAAGAATATTAGATTTATGTCCACTAATGGAAAATACGAGGCAAAACATCGTATTAGAAGATTTACATTAATATTTGCCACAGTATAATCGGACGATTCTAGACTTACAAATAAATTAATATGTACAAAAGAAATTTATAAACATATAATTCCATTTATAAAATGCTTTTATCGAGGATTTCAAAGCACTGTACAAGGCAAAGCAGACACACGGCATATTAATTAATAACTCGGGAAACTAAGAAACGGCAAAATAATAAAATAAATTATAAAACCCATTTGCTGAATTAACTAAAAGTTGTATAAATGTAAGTGGATAAATGCATTTTAAGATGAGTTGTGTATTGTTTTTATTTATCTATTTATACAAACCACACTGGTAAATCAAGCTATTTGGTTATATTAAACTACTCTGTATTAATACACGTTAGTACTATAGGCACATGATGTAGCGACACAAAATAAAAGAAAGGAGACATTGCATTTGATGTCATTGTTTACTGTTCTTCTTCCACAGTCACTAAATCACGTGCATCCTAGCAGCATAATATACAACATCTGCAGCGCATAAGCCCACTATTCTGTGCCTGACTTCATTGATTTATGACACATTTTTTATGTTTTTCTTTTATCAGTTGCTGGGCTATGACATGGATGGAAAATTGGTTCAGGTTTATGGCAAAACAATCAGCCTTTACCCAAGTGATGGAGGCATCATTCGTGTGGAGACCACGCAGTTCATACGAGGTGTGTGCACAGCACACTGGTGTGCGATGCAAGAAGGTTACTTAAAAAACATAATCAGTTACCGACTACCAATTACAATGGAAGCGAGGTATTGAATGTGTAATCAGTTTCATGCCTCTAGGAGAGTCATTTAACTGGTCTACTCGGAATTCCATTTTGAATTCCTACCGGGTGTTTTTTTCCAAAACGTAAACTCTTCTTATAAGTAATCCGATTTGTAACTTCACTTACCTCAATCACACTCCAGCTTAGTCTACCAGACACTGCCACTTGCTGCTTAATATCTGGATCCATTCCGACTTGTATTCTTTCACAATAAGCATGACATGTTTTGTCCTCATTAGATCAATGACCATCTTCCCTCTTCCCATCTTTTGTGTCGTTAATTTATCCGGTTGTGCTTAAGCCGGCTTAGTCACAGCATGCCGTCTATTTATCATTGCTTGTCATGGAAGCGCTATGAACTCTGGTGAACTTCGTGTGTATGCAGGCTGCACAAGCGTGCGTGTCTGTGTGCAGAAGGACGGCCACCGCTTTCTGGTTCACCGGCTAAACGCAGTGCTGGTAGCTGATGGCCACGAGGAGGCTTGCAGGGTAACACCGGAGGTGGTCACAGGAGGGCCTTGCAACGGCAAACACCAGAACCTGGAGAAAAAAGGTTTATGATATTTACATATTCATTGCAACACTTACTATTAAAATAGTTGTAATCTTAAGGCACCTAAGATTTATAATGTGCAATGAGAGTCATTTGTGCTGAAATTATCTTTAAATAAAGATATGAATCACAATACCTTGCTGATGTTGTCAAGGAGCACAAACCACCACACGAACTCCAGTCGTCCTCGCAGCGGCTTTTGGCTCGCCATCAAACAAAGATGGTCACCGCATCGCGCACATTCAAATGCGCTTCTGCGGCCATCTGGAACGCTCTTCCTTCCGATTGCAGGAAGTCACTGGAGCGATGCACTATTAATTTTAGATTGAAAAGGAATTTCTTTAGAACTGCTTTTTGTGTTTAGTTTGTTGTCTTTCCCCCGCACCTCCGATTAACACGGTTGGCTACGTACAGTGCGGAAAAAGTTAAACATCCATAAATATCTCTAGTTCCTGTCTGACAATAAATTTGCATCTGCGTTCACAGGGTTTCCACATGGATGCGAAGGGAGTTTTGGCTCCTTCACTGCCACTTTTTCGGACAGAATTACCCTGTCTTTTAGCAGCCATGGCCCTGGTGGAAAGAGCCAAGCAAGTAAGTGAGGTACCTGAATGGGTTGTGAATATTTTAAACAAATCCACTGAACAGTTTGTGTGCAATAACATTTGTTGTTGCCTCATTTAACTCAGCCAAAGAAGACCCCGGTTTGATAGCTGCTCTGAGCATCCCTTCGGCAATGGCTCCAACTCCACTTCCCAGTGCCAATCCTACGTCCCCTCCGGCTGGTGTGGATAAACGCAGCAAGTCGCCCAAGTCGCCCAAGTCGCCCAAGTCAGCCAGGGCTGGTCGCAAGCGGACGGCATCCTCCCCAGCTCCGCCACAGCCTTGCGAGACGCCAGCTGTGGTGGACAAGGTTCTTACTGTAAATATTATTATCAATCTTGCTATAAATCAGCACCATAGTCATAGACACACAATTGCAGCAAACTTGTTTATGTCTCAATTCAAAGGGGGGGGGGGGGGGGGGGGGCGGCTGTTGCCGGGTAGCATAGCTGTTAACATTGCATGGTGTAATGTGACGCTTTTGTTCAAACTGAGCCTGCTGCTTAGTGGGCAAGTACAAAATATCAAACCTTCCTAAAAATGGCCCATTAACCCACTGAGTGGTACCAAAATCAAACTGAATGCAACCAATAATGCCAGATCTTGGAAGCTAAGCAGGTAAAAGCCTGGTTATTACTCGAATGGGAAGCTGCCGAGACATACCTGATGCTGTAGTCTTGGGGTAAGTGGTAGCGATGTGGAGGCGAGGAGATGGCAAGAGGGTTTGAATTGTTTCCGTACAGAGCTTTACATCTTACTCCTTCATATATATGGTTGTTCTTTCTGTACTTTGGTGTCCTTCAACATGTCTTTCACTCTTCAATATCTATGGGACCTTTTCGCCAGTATCAAATGATGAAAAGAAGGATAGGCTTCAACCTTTCAGGCAATAACACAGGAGGTGTTGCGATGCTTCAAACACCAAATAGCCACACCTATTTGCAAGGCATCAAGTCTGCATTAACGACACATGCTGATGGTAAAATATGCAAACAAACGTGCTTTGATAATAATGACTTCATTGACTTTTAAACTGATTGGCCTATACCAGAGACATCCTTCTTTGTGGACTTGCCTCACTCGTGTTAGACCAGAGAATGCCAAAAGATGAACAGAACAAAAACAATGCAAATATCAAAGCATGAATAGCTCGGGTTGAGCAGTTATATCTATGAGACCTTTTGCAAAAGGTGTCTATTTGGTATTTGAGCATCGTAACACCTTCTGTGTTATTTCCAGAAACAGTAAAGCCTATTACTATTTTCATCAATCACTCTTTAAAATATAATTTTCCAACCTTCCCGTTGCAGGCTCCTCCTGAATAGTAATCTTGAAACTAATTGAAGCCTTTCATAAATAAAGAGTATAAAATATGCTGGTACCCATAAAAAATTAGAGTACAATCAACAGCCTCTCAATGACTAGAAGGGATGAATTGATCGTTGAATGTGAAATGTTTTTGTTGCAGAAACCACCGGAGCAGGCTAAGCAAGAGCCACCACAAGTGGAGCGGGTCGAGGAAAAACTCTCCTCTCCATCCACGCTGGCTCTCAGCATGTCCTGTCCCAATGGGCTGTCCATGCACATATACACAGACACATCCATAGGTACCTAACCTTGAAGCTTAGGTGCCTAGGGGCTCCACAGTGGAGAGATGTTAAATACCTCACCCGGTATACAGGAGGTCGTGTGTTCGATCCCCACCCTGATGTCTGTATATTTGGAGTTTTAATGTCTCTCTCTCCCCGTGGCCGCGTGGATTTTTCTCCGGGTCCTCCGTTTTTTTACTCCACATTTAGAAGCATGTGCTTAGAGTATTTGGCTGCAATAAATATGCACGTAATAAGCCACTTTGTTGAGCTATCATTTGTGGCCAGGTTGCTTCTGAAAAAGAGCTATACAGCTCAGTGGGCATTACCTGCTAAAATGAAAGTTTAGTAAGCTGAGCTGGTGCAATTAAACCAGTGTGGTGCTTTCAACTGTGTTAGACCCAGCTGGGCACATGGTTGCATTTGCAACATCTACTTAACTCTATTATTTTGCATTAATTCAAACACTCACCAACTTCAGCAGCTTGATTAATTGTCTGACCCAATAGTTGAGTAACCCACATGGGCCTATGTAATTATTGTTCCAAGCCGTGTTTCTCGTTGAACTAATTTATTAAGTTTGTTTTATATTGTTTTGTGCAACGGAAATCTTTATTTAGCTAAATGTTAAGTCATTGTGTGTGCAACGCTTGTGATTTTAAAAGTAGCAGACACATCCTGAAGGATGCGGATAGCCTCATGCTTTATGAGATTTCAAAGTTTCAAGTTGACATTTTAAGCCAATAAACAGGTTTAACTGCTTTAAATGTCAAATTGTGAGGGTAATATATGGGACATGAGGCACTCTCAGTCACAATCGCACTTACACATTGCTAATTGTAATTGTAGACAAAACATTCATTGTTTAAAAATACATGTAAATAGGTTATGCAATTGAAAAGTTTTAAAGTACAATCACTCCAGGAAACCTGTGCATTTAGATTATCAGTATTTTTGTGAGCTTTTCATTTTAATCATTTGATTTATTGTCCAACTAATCTTGTAAATGTCTTTCACACAAGTAGCTTGAAGTTCATGTCATCATAGTGGTTCTGTGTTTTTTTTAAAGCTTTCAATTGTAACCGGGTCTTCATTTCTTATTGAATATTTTCCGGGTCATTGGTAAACTTGAATAGACACACGACTAATACCCACAGCCATATCAGGGTGTACACCAGAAGTGGTATAACCAGGTGCAATCATATTTTCTAGGTTGCCGACCCAGACAGACCCGGCTGAAATTAAAGCCTTGATAGTAACTGATTTATTTTTCACATAATCCAGTGATTGGATGCAACACAAGCAGCATGAAGTTCATGTCATCGCAAGGTTTTCTGCTGCTCGCACATGCAGGTGTCATCAGGGAGACGGGCGCTCGACTGCTGGTGCGGTTCAGTGGGGTCCTGGGAGCTGGCCCTGCGCAGGGCGTCCCATACGAGCTGTCTCGAGTCGTCACCAGCGACGGCGCCGTCGTCAGGAGCATCTCTGACGGCTCCACACAGGTGGCACACGTTGCCTGCTACATCGGATCTCATCCCGTGTCGGGTGTCATCTCATTCATTGGCTTGCTGTTGTCCCTACATCTTGACTTAAAGCATTGCAGGAATTCATATTTCTTAGACACACAGTATATGTGCACGTTGTTGGTGCGAGTGTGTTATATTGGTGCAGTAGGGATCACAAGTGGTGCATCTACAAGTCATCTCACTCAGTTAACTAATAACACCTGGGTCTGTCCCGTGACCTTCGTGCAAGCCTTTGACACTTCATGTGGCCTCAAATTGCACCTAGCCTGGCACAAGTGCTGTTGTAATGTCACTGTCACATAAGGGGGGATACCGGCCATTCTTATGATCTGGGGGATGGCGGTGTAGTGGTTTGCGCATTGTACTACTATGCTTCGGCAACCTGATTTCGATCCCCAGCGATACGTAACATCCTTGCCAAATAGTACCTAGGTATGCCTTCGGTCAATGTGGCCTTAACGAGTACATGGTGCAGGGTGTAAACATCAGCAGTTGGGTACAAAGGTGGCATGGTTCTGACCACACCACTCTCATACGTTGTGCTGGCCATGACAGATGCTGTCAAACAGCATTTGCCCGAACAGTCTATGTGGTGGATAGTTTGTATGTTGTAGTGATTTTTGTATTTTGATCTTTTTGTCCTTTCTGCTTGTATTTTGTTTACATACTTCCAGATCTCCCTTGTGTATCTCAATGGGCTTTTAACCTGTTTAGAGATCAATATTTTGAGTGTGTATTTTTTCAAATCCATTCAACCTGCATAATATCAATTCCATTTAAGCTTGACACTCAGCAGGGTTGCTTCCAGCTCATCTATTGTAATAGCAACTATTATAACAATAGCACACTGCAATTATTCATATGCGCACATGTTTTTGATGAGTTTTAATGCTATATGTTTTACTAATGTACTGATTTAATTGCCAGGCCAATTTCATTTGAGCACTTTTGCTTTTCTGAGTAAACTGGTTAATCTGTAGCAAAGGGGCTATTAAAAAGTCAAAGAATGAAAAATTCAATTTTGCACGTGTGTTTTGGACCCTGCCACTAGGTTCTGTTTGCAGATGGATCAGTGAGCTTCAGCCCTGACTCAGGCCCAGTGGTCCCACCGCCCGTAGCAAAACCGGAGAAGCTGGAGCATCCCGACCAGACCCCGACGCCAGACATTGTGCCCAAGGACAGTGGTAACAAAAGAGGTGAGAAATCTGTGCGCAAATCACATGTCTGTCCACTTGTTGTCTAATAGCAACTTTTTACATGAAGCTACACTAAATATTAATGCACATGTGCACCTTAGTAACAACGATTTTGCATTTGCCCACACTGTAGTTCCACATACGTATTTTTGTATATATTGTATTCTACATTAGAACAGCTTTTTGTGGGTAGAAGTTCAACATACATACATGACTGACCTTTGTCAATCTACTTCTGGATGAGGGCCTCTCCATGCTGTGTGAGTTGTGGGATTATTTGACCACACTTCACCATGCTGGCCAGTGTGGGTTGGTGAAGGCTGGGAACATATAAATGCAGTACAACACTGTATTTTCTGCCCTGCTCACGCTATAGCCCTTATTCTGCACATGCGTACGGACCTCTGAATGTTGCCCTTTTCAAAGTGGGTAGGTCTCTCACCAAGTCAACTGCCAAGCGAGGCAACTCTCAGCAAGATGTACACGAACCTCCCCCACCTCTGGAAAGTGTGGAGCAGCCCAAGACAGGCACATGGTTCACAACCACTCCATTGGGTCATACCATTGGCACCTGCGGGGGAGAGAGGCTAGACGTGAAGCCTGTGCGCTTTTACAAGGCTACGGACCCACAGACAGGAGCAGTAAGTTGCGGCGTTTTACAAATGTATAAGTTGCATGATTAATTCGATATGAGTTTACAATTTACACTCTTCGATTAATGTTGATGGATTGTTCAACATTTTAAGAAACGACACATCGATCTTGTTATAAAATATACACACATTGATACGTTGCTAATATCGCAGGTCATGATAACACGGGAGGATAAGGTGGTAACGGTCACGGATGTGGACGGGAGGATCGTAGCTGATCATGTGGATGGCACGCGCATCACCACATACCACCGCCACATTTTGGACCACAACTCCGACGAACAGGAAACCGGTGAGTCCTCTTCAGCCCGAACATTCTTCACGAGCTTGGAATGTAAAATATCCATTAAAATATTTTTATTGGAATTGCGACATTGTCTACTTGATTAACTGCAAATATGTAGATACTACTTGCTTCATGCATGTGAGGTGTGGTGAATTGAGATTCCACGAATCTGACATTTGCATTTAATCTGACAATGACGTTTGCCTTGTAATGCAGTCATTACAACACGTGTTTTACAAAGTGTCCACATTAACATTCAAAGTGCAATTGAGCATTAATCATTGTTGAGTCATTGTTTTTGTGATACAGCAGCATATGCCTTGCATTCATAAGTGATCTGATTCTGTCTTGTGGGTCAATAACTTGCATTTGTGTCAATGATAACAAATCTGCTCACTCTAGCTGTAGCTGTAATACAACACGAGTTTTGGCATGCATGCCAGAAACTTGCGAAGCTTACTCTTGTCTGAGCCCATGCCTGTGGTGTGCAGGCGAGGGTGTGGTAAGGACGGTGAGGAGAGTCAAGTGTGTGACAGTGGAGAGCGTAGGGCTGCCCACTTTGCAGTGGAGGCCTGACGATGGGAGCTGCACCGCCCTGTTTGGGAGTGGTACAGTCTTGCATGCAAAGCCTGATGGGACCTATCAGGTAATTGAGTCGGATGTGAGTTTGAATGCACCGTAAATATTTAGCACCCCCACAATATTTAGTACAACTCACTTAGGGTGTTAAGAAATGGCATAATGTTCTGTTTACCTTTGAATGTAATAAAGAACATTTCATTGAACGACTTGGGCTACGTAAAAAAATATTCTCAGAAATACCCCATGCAAGGCGTTGTGTCTCTAACAGAGTATTCATTTTCATTCATAAGCTTTTAAATGTAATCCATGCTTCATAACTAACATCAATATGCTAATCAAGAAAAACAACTTGTTTGAAAGCAAATTGAATTTATTGCATTAACTGCACACATTAGCAAACACAGCAATTTGGATGCACTAAGCAACTGTTGTGCCAATGCACGTCTGTTGGCTTTAAGTGAGCGCATGGGACTTATATAAGTCTTTGGACTCAGTGCACATCTGGCTAGTATATTATCCTATGGTTCCCATATAAGTATATGGGTCCTATATTAGCCTCTGAGCTAATGTTAAGTGTATTGGACCCCTTTAATTATATAACTATGATGTAAATCTAAGCCTATAAACATACTTAATACCCCGAGACTTTATTATGTCTCCTGGATTTGCATATGTCCCATATATTTACATTGGGAATTTTGACTTTACATTAGACCCACCAACTTAGATACATATAATAAATGTGACTTATATAACATCTATACAACCTACACAGGGGCCTAGAGAATTATGCTGGGTAACCACTATAAATATATTTTGCTGCTATAAATGTTCAAATGATAAGCCACTTTGTTGAGCTATCATTTGTGGCCAGGTTGCTTTTCAAAATAAGTTCATACCTCAGTGGGATTTGTCTGGTAGGATGAGAATGGTTTAGTTTCTATTTGTGTGTGGTTATGTTGTTTACCTTGCTGGTACTTTGCACTGCTGTCATGTTGTTGTTGTAACGTTCTTAGCCGCCCCGACTGGACATTTGTGAAAAAGAGCTTTACAGCTCATTGGATTCTTGCAGTCTAAATAAATATTGTGATTCTGATATAGACCTACATCGGACTTACACACACTATACGGGGTCATCCATTTATATACCCACTAAAATAATGGGGAGATATTATTTTTTTAAACACCAACGCATCTACACGTATCCCACAAAAATACTTTGCTTCTACATTATTACATCTTTTAACGCTCTGTGAGATTTTTTTGTCACCATTTTTGTAATATTTAACTCGCTGATAAAATTAATTGTGAGATCTATAAATGAATCCCCTATATACATATATATATCTTTCTGTGTGTGTCCAGCTATGTCCCAGTGGTGGCGAGGGATCCCTGTTCATAGCCTCGGATGGAGAAGCCAGGTACAGCCCGGGCAGGGTCTCCTCGCCAGCCCTGGACTCCCTGCCCGGAACACGGGACCCGGCGTTGACTCCTGGGACGTATTTCCTGCGCCATGTGGCTCCGCTCGCCTGTGAAGCTGTGGATGTGTATGGCAACCACTTCCAGGTGTCTCGTCGTCTTCAAAGCATCCAATTTTATTTTTTATTACGCTTACTTGGCCAAGGAAAGCCTCACTTAGCCTCATGACTCTCTTTTTAGGAGGGTGCTGCCAAGTTTTTGGAGTAGGGCACTTTAGTATAGTTATAATAGCATGACATAAATTGCATGGGGAGGCAGCCAATGGTAAGTAAAGGAGAAAAGTTTTCTTTAAGGACTTGAACAATGCGAACAACAAGGTGGAGGGAGTTCCAGACAGTATTGGCAGCAGAGTAGAATCCGCAATAACAAGAGTGGCTACTTTGTCAATATAGTTTCTGACCTCTTATGAGAAATACCGGGGATTTGTGATACTCACTCAAACCACAGTATATTCTTCATACTGAATTGCAATGCAACAGCACAATTAACATGGAGACACAGATATCCGAATATGAGTCGAGACTATTGTATTTACAAAGGCATGCTGCACGTGTTTACCATGTCGTAGTCCTGTATTTAATACCATTAAAAGCCTTTGCTGCAATGTGCCCCCTTTTATCTCAAATAATCGGTCGCTCATAAAATCAGCCCAGTAGTCTGGGTGAAGTGGGATTAATAGAGACGTAATCTAACATTCGAGCCGATATATAAGTCTCTTGTGAAGAATCACATTGATTGTTATAGGGCGTTATTGATATTATGGGCCATCCTTCCTTACCACGGTGTGGCCTGAATGCAGGTGCTGTGCAATGGCGAGGCCTCAACGTCCCTCGCGGCGGCGGCTGCTGCTGGTGCTGGTGCTGAGGATGAACGGGGGGATGGGGAGGAGGCGCAGGGACCTGCAGGCTATGACACGCACGCGCCAAGGTGATGAACGCACACGGGCCTAACGACAGCCCTGTGCAGGGGCACAGGGAATTCCCTCTTGGCAGGGCCGTGTCTAGGATTGCGATAGATATGTGGCGCTGCAGAAATACGTTGGAACTTGGTACATTTTATCAGGGAGATTGCACTGTCGTTCAATATGTTCTACTTCATCAGTAAACTAATTAACGAATTTACCCTCTGAGTTAAAGCATGTGCAAGCTCATTTTGATACAAAATTAATTTGGCATGGGAGGCAAATTAACCTACATTCTTGTAAAGAATGCAATCTAGCAGTCGATTGAATATGATCATTTGTGGAACAAAATACATAACCCATCAACTTGAATGATTATACTTTAAATTATTGTGAACTCTGCACCAAAACATTCCTGATTAACTGGCCCAAGCAGTGTATTATGCACATTTGCCTAACAGGTCTAAGCATGGCAAATCTTCAACACAGTACTTCCATGACAGCTCTACCCATTATCGAACAATTTACACCCAGGTGTGATAGCACACTCTAATTAGACTTTAACATGTCTTGGCTTCGAATGCTGAATGTTAATTAACTATCCTGTTAGTACTTCTCAATGCTCTGGTTACACTGTGAGTATTTTAAATGTATACATTTACCACCTACATTTTTTGTTTTTATCTTATCTGTGTTCATTGTGTGGTTGTTTATAAGCAGGGCTTAATTTCTCACTGAATATATTCCGGATGTCTGGTAGACTGGAGTAGTTGGCACATGACACTAGTAGCCAGACTCTTAGGTTTTTTCGGTAAAGTCACGTAGGTAAAAAATAAAATTAAAATTAATAAAAGTAATAATAGAAATAAAATAATAAATAAAATAATAAAACATTTTTATATATAATCACACTTGATACAGTAAATCTAGCTGTGACGGTCCCACCTGATGACGGAGACTTGTGTTGCCTCCGAAACGTCGTGATTTATTATTTTATTTCTATTATTACTTTTATTAATTTTAATTTTATTTATTACCTACGTGACTTTACCGAAAAAACCTAAGAGTATGAATCCTTGCAGTCACGAAAGCTTCAAATCTAGAACTAGTAGCCAGAGCCATAGTGAGATGTATACGGAACGTGGTGTGCTGGTCTGGATATATTTCCCAGGTCACCTATGCAGACAGACCCAACTGAAAGTAAGCCTCGCTTGTCCGCCATGCTCTTTGATGCGTTACTGTTGCCAGGCTGTTTGCAATTCATGCCGACGGTTCTGGGACCGAGTTCATCCGTCGTGAGGATGCTGAGAGGTTCCTTTCCTGGGCTGATGGTCATCCAACAACCACCGTTATCAGAGAAAGCCTGCCAGACCACCCTGGTGCGTGTGTGTGCATCTACTCGAGCACATTCAGCATTCAACACTACATACCTTACACGGGGGAACAGGCCAGCCTTGGACGAGCAACGCTGCTGGCTGCTCATTATTAGTGACGGTGTTATGGCTCTGAGACAAAAATGCATGAAGGTTTTATGAGATGCTATGGCTTTGAGACTTGAATGTGATTCAGGGTTAATTTGTTTGCCATGTTTATTCATGGGTAGAATTTTCGAAGTTATAGTCTTTTCATTGGATGTATTCAGCCAGGTAAGAACAACGGAGATATATAATATTAGTGCAATGGATTCTTGGATGAAATTACTTTAGAGTGAATGCAGCCATGGCAGAATAAACAAGCAAAGTGGTGTACATTTTACTTGCATTGCAAAATTACAAGATGAAGCAAACAATATATTAACTTCCATGTGGTATTGTTGTGGTGTGCACTTTTGGCGTGTGGTTAAAGCAGCTAATAATGGGTGCATGAAAAATGAAACAATATTTTTATACTTTTTATTTTATAAATATACATTAAATCCAGGGGATGACAAATTTCTATCGACTGTAATCAAAATAATATAACTAGTAACAATGTGCACACAAAATTCGCAAAACAGACAAATCTTTGTCCGATCACGAATTTGGAGGCACACGATTTAACTTATGTAGGACATACAATCAAAGAATGCAGTTTGATAACAGGCATTGTCTAAATCATTGTGACTTCATAACCAATGCTTGTGCAATGGACAGCTGTTCAAGGGGTGACTGTGCTGAGCCCCGTGGAGAAAGATGTGAGGCAGCGCTGGCTGCTGCTGCAGAAGCAGGAGAGTGATATCACTCCCCAGAGTCTGAGGTCTCGCCAGTGGCGCACCTTCCCAGCACGTGAGGTGAACGTTTTCACACGGACATCTCCACATGCACTCGGGCTTCTCTTTCACTGCGTCGGTAAACGGGGCCAGCCTTTTGTGGCAGCAGTCCAGCACCCATGGGTTTTCATTGCCCCAGCAGCAGCAGGGGACTAATGATGATGTCAAGCATCCATGACATCATCATGTTAATAAGAATAATATATATATGGTGTTGTTACCTATTACCAAATCACGTGTAATGTGCCCGATCAGGGTTATGAGCCCGGACAGTGCTTGTATTGGTGACTGCTATGCAAAACAGTTGTTATAGGCTGTGGGGATAAATCACGAGTGGTAGAGGGCAGCAACATCCATTGTGGCTCTGTACTCCACTCCAGCGTCTATGCTGCCCGCACTCAGGAAGTCGTACTGATCAGCATGGCAAAGTACGGTCAAATTATCCTTACAAACCTCACCGAGTGCGGATGCCCTCTTCCAGCAGTCGGGATTATACTTGTACAGATGGTGTCGTTGCAGTGTGATCACCATTCGTGACCATGAAAGCTCTCGGTGGCTTCTGGGACAGATTTTAAACAGCTTATTTGGTTTGGTTCGTACTGGTATGGATTAACTGTTAGGGCGTTAAGAGTACAGAAGTGGTTGTTTAATAGAGAGCATAGTACCTGCCATATGAATGTTTAATTTGCATCACTGGCTCAGGACCACCAATTGAGATGGTACCACCCAAAGGTATTTTGTTTGGAACTCGACATCTAAACGCATTGTAGAAGTGCGATTTCACTTTCCATTTGAATATGTTCCATTCTGACTGTACACTGAGCGTGTCTCGAAGCAACGCTATCCAATGTCATTAGCAACAGCAGCCCATGGGAGGAGAGCTGTGTTGCTTTCATGAAAGCAGTGTAATTTATTTACAATTAGTGTTTTTAATAGAACAGACTTCTTCCTTGATCTAAATATTTTGTATATTCTCAATGAAAGTGAGTTGATTAATTAATTTGCCACAGAGATGTATGTATCCTATTGCATTGGTCATGAGTTATACTTGTTTTTATTTTTGCTGCAATATTTATTTATGGCCTTTCTTCATCGTGACCGAGATTAATTACTCCAGAAGTGGTTGCAGGCATAAACCACATTTCTTAATTAAAACTCCCAGTCTTGGCCCATTTTAGCTTGGAACATTTCCTGGTCTTGTGAAAAATGTCTCTGCAATATTACAAATTAGTTTTTCGAACAGCTTTTTAAACTACATTGGACATACTGTATTGCAGACATCAATCTTGATACTTTATTTATAACTTGAATGAGACCTTAAAATGTTCTATTCATGATGTATTTCACATCATTGTAGCTGCATTTTAACGTGAACGCTTTTGTTTGCTGAAACCATTTTTTGTTGCTTGAGTATTCTCAGTATTCTTAAAATCACAATTACTGGTCTAAGCCAGCCATCTGCCTTCTACGCTCATGCCTGTAAAGTTAAGCTGTGCCATATTTGTAGTAGATGCCCATTCTCAAACAGTTAAATATGCCTTGAACGTCAGCCTTCCATGCAAGCCAAACCTAGTAGCTGTAACATTCAGAATTGTGGTTTATGAAAGCAGCCATATGACCGATGTACTTTTGTGTGCTACATCCATGTGCGTCAAAAGGAAAAGAAGGCAGGGCCACGGTTCGGCACGTGCATAGGTCGTGGCTTGACCATCGACCATCCTTGTGAGTTGAACGTGAAGCCAGCGGTCTCGCCGTGCGTGGAGAAACGTCCGGACGTTCTGCGGGCTAGGCAGCTGCTGTGTTACCCGGCCGTCACGACAGAAATGCGGTGCAAGCTACAGTTGCGCTTGAAGGTAATGCCATTGTTCAGGGAAAGCGAGAGAGAAATGACCGGTGTTGCATTTCCATCTGCTCTTGAGTAAGTTTCATTGCACATACTGTACCATTTTCCACGTGGCCTATTTGTGTCAGTCACATTCATGGGTGTGAATAAGTGTGCAATCTGGCTACCTGTCAACAGGAATATCTGGAGCAGCTGCTCCAGAGGGAAAAGCAGAGAGAGGAGATGAAGATTCAGGATCCTCGCCTGGCTGATGAGAAAACCCACATCAGCCATCTTCTCAAACTTGTGCTGGTAAAAGTGCATTTATGATCATTGTCAGCTCTCATCGTCTTAATGATTAATATCATCGTGGATCTTTTAGTTGTGATCTGAAACTATAATTTCCATGGCTTTGTCGTTGAGATCTGTCCCTAAATTTGCGTACTCCAATATGCACATTGCCAATTATGTATTATTTCATTAATCTATGCATGCATGATTTAAGGGGTGAGAATAGAAATGTTCCAGAAGTGTAATATTGCACTTACAAGAAAAGGGTAAATGTAAATCGTTTAATTTTTTTTCTAAAGCAATGATCTTACAGTAAATGTTAATTCATTGTAGGTGGTTAAATTAAAAACAAGGAAACTTGATACAAAACAATCTATAGGGTACAACTATTGAAAGATACTTCATATATTTTTTTATGATCTTGAAATTACATTTTAAAAACATACACTAATTCATTTTGGAGTAATAAAGCCACACTCTCAGAAGCGGTTCTATGTTGTTTGTGTTTATGGTGATGTTTTTTTGTAACAGTGTCCTTTATTCGTACATGATTAATACATGTGCATGAATATTCTTGGTTCTTTCTATAAAGTCACGTAGAAGGGAAATAATAAAATAATATAAATATAAAACAATAAAACATTTCACATGTGTAATTTTTTTTGTGGACATGTAATTTTAACACTATATTTTCTCAAATTATTAATATCTCCTTCTGAATACACCACACATTCCCTTTGTTCCTTTTGGAAAAAAGCGAATATTGAATGTGACATTGTACCTTGCAGTCTATGCCTGAAGACAGCCCCAGATATTATCATGAAGATGAAAGAAGAGGTGAGCATGAAGCTATCAGAGCCCTGCCAGAAGGGAGGGCTTTCCCAGCCCATCTGGTTCATCGCAAAATTATTTGATGATTGAATTGTGAGTCCATATATTAGAGTTGTGCGATTCAAGTAAAGTGAATTCAATACAAATGTCATTTCATCATTGATCCAGTGACGAAAGTGGAATGGTTTGGATCTAATTTCCCGTGTATCAGTTGAGCCGTATGTTTTCTGTGCAGCAGAGTTAGCGGATCTTTACGAGCAATCCTTCACAACACAGCCTCCCAGCTCCCCTCCAGATGCTCAAGCAGAACAAGAGGAAACAGGATTACAACCAAACAGGTACAGAATAATCATCATTATTAATAATCATTTACAGACATTCGTCATTCGACTGCTGGATGACGGCCTTCCCATGGCATTACAGTTTATGGGGTTGGTTTGTCATACTCGACCAGGATAGTGAATTATTAAAAAAAAAAAAGTCTGGTCAGTTCAGGTTAGTGGAGCGAGGTCAGCGCTGGTTCAGATGTCACTCTCCACTGATGTTAGCCAAGGCCTGGAGTCAGACTCGGGTCACTAGAATTACAGTGGAGTGCACTAACCATTGCACTACTGCTCCACTCCATTTTTTTATTTGCAATCTACAGTAAGTTGGGCTTTACTGTTGCGTCTATATGCAGAGCTTAACGTTTCACCATCAAAGGCTGTAATAAAAACAACAATGTGATGTTGTTGAGGATCATTACCGAAAGACCCAAAGAGTAATATGAATTCCTGCAGTCACGAAAGCTTTAAGACAGTGCTTGGGTTTTATAATGTGGTGCTTCTCAGAGTGCGGTCCCCGCACCACCACCAAGCCGTCCGCGACGCTCCACCAGGTCGCCCGTGGGCTGTGATGCACATGCAGGTTGATGCGGAAATAATGACAACGTTTATACTTTTTGTTTCGGGAATGAAATTACATTTTACTTATATTTAATTTACAAATTAAGTTAGGTAAATTACCCTGATTAAACTACCATACCCCTATATATCTAAATGCCTCCCCTAAAAAAAGCCTTATCGCTGCGTAAAAAGAAATGTTTTTACATTCTGGTAATATGAATCATTTAGTAGGAGTGGTATTTAGAGAGAAGTGAATGTGTTTTGTCACCATGGGTGGGGGGGGGGCTGGGTGGTCCGTTGAAATGTTTGCATCGGCTGAGCCAAAACAGCTTGAGATACAGCGCTCTAATGCATTCTCTTCTCTGTCTTCCATAGGGAGGAGGCCAGCCAAAGAACACAGGCTCTGTGGGCTGAGAAGATAGCAAAAGAAAGGTAGTGTTTAATGAGTCAGATAAAAAGCCCAGGGAGTCACTGATCCATGTTGAGTATTTAACACTGAAATGTTTGGGTGTGTTCCGTAGGCAGGAGGTGGAAAAAGCAAGGGAGGACATCCAAGCCTTAAGACACAGAATCATCACACCCTACTTCAGCTCAGAGCTTGGCCGAACCTTTCTACTCAGCCAGGTATAAATCTGTAATCTAGAGCCTCATGAATCATGTTAAATCGGTGGTGGTTTTCTTTTATATACACTGACCTGGTCAGTTCTTTACTTTTTCTTGCACATTTTTATTCCAGATATTGAGTATAGCACGTATATGTTTTTAGATATTTAAAAGATATCCTGACGGCCTTCATTCATAAGAGGATAATAATAAGTCAAATTTATAACACGCAAAGAGATTGTGTCGTGAGTTGCCAACACACGATATTGAACAAGAGCTCTATATATATAAAATATCTTCAATCACTGATTTAAAAAACAAATTAATAGCACACATCCATGAAGGTGGTTTGTTGAACCTGTCTGAAGTAACAAATTAATACATTTTTAGGCCTGCACACCTCATCATATTTTTTATATACCCATTGGCTTGAGATTATTGTCGAAATGCCCAGTATTCATGTTGTTTATGATACCATGTGCCAGGCAATGGACTTGGAGGCCCTGAGTAAAGAGGTGCCCCACACACCCCGGAAGCCATCCCCCGCTTTGGACTGCACGTCTGAAGATGGTGATGAGAGACAAACAGACGATGATAGTCCAATAACTTCACTGGGAGGTACCGTATGTTTGATCACACAACATCGCTATCAAGTGCTGTCATTACTGAGTCTCATGACCTTTTCAGGAGGGTCCTGCCAAACTTTCAGCACGTCACGGGATATTTAACAGCCATTGTGCAGCAGACAGTATGTATTTATATGGTTAATACACCTGTAGTATTAATCAGGGCAGCCACTAGATTCGAACTGTAAACTTCTGCAACAAGCAGCAAATGCGCTATGCTAGGCCATGTCAACTTTTGGATCACATGTCACCAATTTATCATTACTAGGACAGTATGCAATATATATTTTTTAAACGTGGCAGAATTATAAACCAAGATACACGCATGTTGTTCAAATGTCCTCCAGAGAAACGGTTTGTTACACAAATTATCCATGTAGGGAGATTTTGGCGAAACGATAGGTCTCACTTTGCATGGGATTTTAGCCAGTGCACTTGGCACCTAAGTCGTCTACACATGCAATGTGAAATGTAGAGACAATAAGACATATACGGGATTACTGGCAGTTCATCTTTGGTGTTGTGATTTTGTTGGTAATATTTCTACAAATGTCTTGTGCGTGCATATGCGTTGTTACCCGACCTTTTATATGCTTACAGGAAGCACTGGCCCACAAGCCGCAGGGCAAGTTGAGTTTGCTCGCTTGTACCCAGTTCACCAGCCCGTGCGTTCTCCCCGGACAGCTACACAGCTCCACACAGATGGCCCTGTAACTGAAGGTTTATATCCAGTACATCTATCTCAACATGAACACCAAACCGAACTCTCAATCCCCAATGAATACCCATTCATGTTGATCCTTATAAGTCTACCCAGAATTTACCTTTAATGTGCCTGAACTGTATTCTTGGTTCTTTCGGTAAAGTCACGTAGAAGGGAAATAATAAAATAATAAAAATAAAACCTAATAAAATAAAACCTAATAAAATAACTAGTTGGACCTTGGAAGAGAAACGAGTTGAACCTGAATAGCCCTTGGATGTGTGATCACCGAGCACAAACAAGTTGTCATTTAGATTGCAGGCCTATGTGTTGGGCAGCAGAGGGCAGTGCAGCGCCTACGATGCCTGCATTCACCAAGCCGTACTGAGCAGTGTGGTGATGTTTCGTCAAATAATCGTCGCAAACTACATTGAGTGCAGAGGCCCTCATCTAGCAGTATATTGACGACAGGGTGATACATGTTTATTTTTCCATCTGTTTCTATTACAAACAAAATGTCAACTGGTGCGCAACACAAGCTGTCGTGCTGAATGCACTCATTACCACAATGTAGGAGGCATCATCATTTACTATTTATACCGCAGTATATCTTGAAGTGCCAGAACACAGGGCTGTTTGAGCTAATTACTCAGTAAGGAAACAATTAGAGACCAAATACAGCGTGCAACAGCACTACAGTGTTGGCAATATGCAATACACACGAGGATAAACTACATTTAAACGCTGAAACATCTAACTGTGTCCGTGCTCGCCGAGCTGCATTGGCTTTCGGTCGCTGAACTAATAAGTTATAAAGTCGTACTCATTACACACAAGGTGCTTGGCACAAATGGACCACAATACGTTGCCGATCTCTTCAAGGAGCATAAACCATCATGCAAACTCTGGTCATCCCCGCAGCGGCTTTTGGCTGGGCATCGAACAAATACGGTCACTGCATCGCACACTTTCAGATGCGCTTCTTGCGACTGTCTGGAATGTTCTTCCTTCCGATATTAGGAAGCCACTGGTGCACTTTTAAATCACCCAGATTGAAATCTAATTTCTTTAGAGCTGCTTTTTGTGTTTAGTTTGTTGTCCTTCCCAACACCTCCAATTAGCACGGTTGGCTACGTACGGTGAAAATAAGTTCAACCTACATACAGAAACTACATTTTAAATGCTAAACTATACGTGATGGTTTTCATCTTTGTGCTTGTGCATTTCCTTGAGGACAGTGCCAGCAGCTGCCGAGCGTCACCCGCGCGACTTCACGCGCCACCACGCCAAGAGCCTTGCGCTGGACGTGACAGGCTCGGTGCGCAGGGAGCGTGTGCGACTCCCGGCCGCTGTCCTCGCCTCGCGCCCACGCTCGGTGCCCAACGAGAAGGTCGCTCGCGTGTTCCAGTTTCATGCCAAAGATCATTATCGTCAGTGTCATCGTCACCACCACCACCACCACCTTCATCGTCATCGTTATCGTTGTGGTCGACATCATCGTCGTCGTCAGCTGGATGTGGTGGGAGTCTGTAAGACACAGCCCACGCACATTGTGGAAGCTGATTCACTCCTCAAGATGTACCTTGTTGAGATCCTAGAATTGATTTGCTACTAACAGCCAAATGAGCTAGGTAGACCGAATGGTCCACTCTCGTTTGTAATCTTCTGTATGAAACAGAATGTAAAATTGTCACTTATTTCAGAATTGTTCACTTTGCGGTTTCAAAGTATTTGAAAGTAATACTGTGCGTTGTTCAGCATGATGTCCTACATTTCGCTGCACGTGCTGGGAGCTTCAGTGCCTGAAAACACATGGAGCGAAACGTCAGACATCACGCCCAACAACATGCGGAACAACATGAAAACACATCAGAGATATTCTCTAATTACTCTTCCATGACAGGTGGGAGCATTGGCAAGATCAGAACTTTTGCAGGGCTTCACTTTGCTTCCAACGCGCGTCAACTTTGGGTCCCTACGACAAGGGAGCTCGAACGTGCGTCGCATCCGCCTCCAGAACGTCGGCACGGAGCAGCGCAGGTCAGCGAGTCATCATCTCTTATCCACCACGCATGTACGTCAATTATCATGCAATGTGTCACCATTGACCCGATGCCAGCTGTTACGTCAACACATTGGCGGCTCGGCTCGGACGGGCTTTTATAAAGGGGCAATCCTGCGATTAAGTTATTATGGATGATTCATCAGTTGTGGTCATGGCACCAGCGCACAGAGCCCTGCATTCATCTGACAGTGTCCCTACAGGACATTATTGGAGCACTGAGGATTGTAACCTTGAACCCAGAGTGCATTTAAACAAGTTTGGCAAGAAGGTTGATTGGGTGATCCTCCTTTTTGATTGACTACAATTGCCTGCTGTGACTTATTTTTAAAAAAACATGATCATTAACACTTATTTCTGTTATATAATTACATTGAGAGATAGAAGCAACAAGCATGGATTACAGAACATACACGAGTCAAAGACATCATTCAAACTGTTGTGGGCTTGGGCAGCATGCATCACGAGAAGGGATCATGGCTGATAGTGGATAATAGAGATGGAGCGGCATCAAAGGATCGGAACTTGTCGAGGAGGACCTCCATTGAAAAGACGGAGCGATGAAATCAACTCGTGTGCAGGGGCCAGGTGGAGTGTTCTAATGCAGCACGTGGGAGATGACAAGCGATGGGGGAGGCCTTCATCCAGCTGTGCATTGTTCTTGGCTGATGATGGTGATGCCAAATATAAAATCAGAGTGTGATTTATAGACTGTGGCGAGTTCATTGAAATTATGACATAATCGATGGCACCGTGCCTATAATGACCCTTTTGATACACTCCCGAGAACTAAGGTGATGACTTTTAAGTTTTCTTGCGCCTAACCCAGAAATGAAAAAGTAACATTTCTATCTTCACAGATTCAAAGTGAAAGCTCCTCCATCCAGCACAGGCATGCGAGTTATCTACACACCTGGGCCAGTATGTTTTTCGTGCAACTAAAGCAATTATCCTTCACGTTAAGCTACGTCAGTATTTTGTCGAGAAAAAACTTGTGAAATCGTACAGTTTGTGATTTTATTTACAAAATATAGATGATGAATGAAAATTAAAATGGTTAATCTGTAACCATTGTACTTAAACATTAAATGTATACTGATGCAATGTATTTAACTCGGTGAGTGCTACCAATGTTGCAACTTGAAGCCACTTGGAAGGATTCACCTTCCTTGAACAAAATGTTATCAAGATTGCGATTTGTTTATTGATTGCATTCTTAATACAACACTGTCATTAATTCTAATTATTTAATGTAGTTATATATATGTAAATGCATTCTCATATATGTGTCAAGCAAACTGCATGTTATATTTGTTCTGCTTTTTTTGTGATGTCCCATTTTCCAAAAAGGGCCATTGAATGTCCTTACAGTCTTGCTCTGTATCCACTGGTTAATTTGTTAAATTTCTGCTGTGTTTGTTTTCCCTGTGCCCATACCTGTGGTAGGTGGCAGCTGGAATTCACATCGAGCTGATCTTGGAGCTGAGAGCGGAGAACTTGGGTCCCGTTTCCTATGAAGTGCAGATCCAAACCGAGGCAGAAACGCTGCTCGTACCTGTCACAGCAAATATCCTTTCTCAGCCTGTCTGCACGTGTGCCACACCAGCTATTGAATTTCTCGAAGTAATACAATTATGTAGTCAGCTCCGAGGGAACAGACAATAAATACTGATTCCTTATCCTTTAAATAACAATTCATAATGTAGAGCTCTTTGTCAATCCACTGCTGAATGAACGCCTCTCCACCCTGTGTCAGTCAAGGGGGTCGATTGACTGTAGTCAGCTAGTCAGTGCAGGTTGGTGAACGGGGGTCAGGACCAGTTAAGATGTCACTACTGCTAATTGTTTTTTTATCCTTTTATCTGGCGCCTTTTGGCGTCATCTGGTCCAACACCATGTGAGACTAGGCTCTAAGAAACGCTGTCTCGGGTGTGGACCAATCAATTTCAAGGACAGCGCATACATGATCAGAGTTGTGTTTTTTTGTTTGCATTCCGACCACTGGTATTGTGGTCAATGCAAACATGACTCCTTGTAAAAAAGGTGTCAGTTTTGTTGCCAGATAAAAGGTAAAAAAACAATTATCATATTTTGCTACTGACAAAGGAGGTTCCAATGGTGTCACTACTGATGTTGGCTGTGACTTTGAATTGGTTGGTTTCTCATACGTTTTGTTTTATTGTCAATGATTCCAATCCTGTCTCCTTTACTCTCTGCCTGCACCAGTGCTCTCTGATGTTGAGTATGAAGAGGCATGCAACAGCAAGATCAGGGCAACTGCACACACGAAGAGTGCTCCAACTTTGAATAAAGATAATGCTGTGCTTACTCCCGCCACACAAAGCATTCAGATGCCCTCGGTGTAAATATTAATGCATTTCAAAGAATTCCATTAAGAAGAGATGGCGTGATGAGCTCCGATCTTCTGGAGGAGCATAAAGAATCATACTTTTAAGGAGCAGACTCTGGTGCCAATTTGAATCCAGTAATGAAGAGATAATAACCAATACATTGAGATGTGGCTGATATTTGAATGCATATGGTCTGGACTAGTTCACTACATATTCTCTAAATCTCCACCACCACCAGCTCTGGAAACATGTTGACATGAGTTGGAGAGTTCGCAATCGTTATCACACTCGAACTCGCATGTGTCACGTATCACTCTCTGGACACTTAGCTCACGTCTTATAGCAGTTTGACACCATTGTGCCCTTGCTACATTAGTGGATATAACAGAAAAACAGCATGAAATGCACAGACAATATCCATTATAGTTTCTTCATATAATTATTACTACTGAGCTGCTTCTACTCACTTGTGTTTAAAATACCCTTGAATGTTTGCACATTCTGATCACTAGGTGTCAGGCAATGCTTATGTTTGTAAATCATCTCAAAGTTAGCATGATTGCTGTGACGATCTATTAAATTAATCTATACTTTTCGATTCAGAACCACAGTATTTGTTTTATCTAGAGCGGGTAGGTAGCCTGGTGGGTTACCCATGAGCCTTAACTTCACCCCAAGATTGTGAGTTGTGGAAGCATGAGGCCTAAACAATTCATGTGTGAAGCAATAATGCTGAAACCAGCTCCAAATCATTTCAGACATAATCAGTTTCATATAGGTGGCTTTTTCGAACCCAACTTAGTTGAAATTTGGGGTTGTGAAGTAAACTTTCCATAGGTTTGTATGCGCTTCTGTGGATTGTATTCTTACTGTAAAACCAAATAAAAACCGATGCTGATTTCAATAATGTGTTTGAATCTCAGATTTTACATGTTAGTGTGTATACAAGGTAATGTGGTTTAAGCCGCAGAAATCTAAGTTGACTCCATCGACAATCTAATAGTGGAATTGTGGCGACATGTTAATTACCTCGCCTGGTATACAGGAGGTCGTGAGTTAGATCCTGACGCCTGGATATATTTGGGGATTGCATGTTCTCCCTGTGGTCGCGTGGATTTTTATCCGCGTCCTCTGGTTTTTCCCTCCACATTTAGAATTAACATCATGCGTTGACAGTAATTGGCTGCTGTATATTTCCACGTGTTAAGCCACTTTGTTTAGATTTCATTTGTGGCCTGGTCGCTTTCTGAAAAAGAGCTACATAGCTCAGTGGATCTTATCAGGTATAAAACAAAAATAGCGAACAGTTTAACATCCAGAAAGGGGTGTGGAATGATCCAACACGGGTTTTCCATATTGCCCGAACCAAGTGGTTACTTTGTAGCCAGTAATTGCAGAACAAATCCCACCCAATGTGGGGTAATGTGGAAACCCCATAATGGATTGCTGTGCAACCTCAGTGTGGGAACTTAGGACCAGCTGCAGAGTGTGCATTCGTACGCATCATGACGTATCTTGTGCGGAATGTTTACATACTGTGACCTCACAAAACATTGGGACAGGAGAGATGTTAATTTGTGACAACTGAAAGACCACGTGCTGCCAAATGTGATGTGTGTTGGGAAATGGTCCATCTCTACACCGGACACGTGTTGCATTCGCACGGATCCACACAAATTATACTCGACAGCTCGGCACGCTATGGCCTAACTTCATCGTGCATCAGGCAATTAAAACAAGTACCCATTCTGTGTATGCATAACACCCATGGCAGTTAAGTGTGGACACACCCATGTTTTCTTTCAGTTCACCGGCACAAACACCGACACTATAAATGTTTTAACAAATGCGCCGAGAGGTTCAACATCCAGTCGCCGTGACAAGGCTTCGCTCCCTCAAGGTGGGTAAATTAATACATTTCATAGCCGATGTAATCGATTATATATCAATTTGTGAGCTGCTGTGACTTTTTTAAAATAATACATGTAGAGACAAATGATTCATACTGTCACTGGATGCCATATAGATCGACCTGTACATCACACGCATCGTGACTTGTTTGGTCCACAGTGAAAGGTCGTGAAATACGGAGAGCGGAGCTCTGGTTGACTCCTGGCATACACTAATTCGTTGGATTGTGATCGTCTTCATAGTTTGTATCATTGTTTTTGTTATAATAAAAAAATAATTTAATGATTTGTAGCTTTCATGTCAAAAGGCAAGGGTTAACATTGCCTCTGCTCAAACAATGTGATCGGTGGTGTGAAACAACATGTGATCACATGATAGGTGCTGCTCCATTAAATCAGCACTGTTCACTTTTCGTAAAAGTGGAACTTAAATGATCAATATTTCCGGATGATGGTTTAAGTCATCCCCATATCAGAATTTGAATGTGTTAACTTTTAACTCCAAGGTTAGATGAGAGGAGGAGGTCATTGACCACACACCTCGGCATCAGAATAGCGCAGCCCTGCAATTGTTTTATCATGCCACTGCTGGATGTTCAACTTCTTTTGCACCGTACGTAGCCAACCGTGATAGTCGTTTGCGCAGGGGAAGGACAACAAAAATGCTCGTGGAAGGGCCTCCGTTACAGGGACCTTGAAAGAGCCCTTCTCGAGGATGTTTGGCCTACTCTTCCACACTGTCTAGACATCTTGGATGAGGTGGCAGTCACCACAATTTACCCCACCAGATGCGACCTGCCGATCGACGAACTGTGGCGGTACCCATTCATCCTGTTGGGTGGACAGAAGGTGGGTTGGGGTGCAATTAACAAACCGAATCATTGCCCCAACTGCCCCGCAGGAAGAGATCGAATCGAACCATCAACTTTGTATTCTTGTGCGGGTGTGCTCACCATTGCACCATTCCCGTATCGCACTAACTAATTGTCATGTGTTGATCTCAAACAGGCTTGCGGGGGAGACCATGAACTGGGATGGCCTCTACGAGGTGCTGAGCGGCGCCAACCGCTACTCCACGTCCATCGGCCGCGTGTGGCTCTCCGTGCTCTTCATCTTCCGCATCATGGTGCTGGTGGTGGCGGCCGAGAGCGTGTGGGGCGACGAACAGTCCGACTTCGTGTGCAACACGCTGCAGCCGGGCTGCCAGAACGTGTGCTACGACCACTACTTCCCCATCTCGCATGTGCGCCTCTGGGCCCTGCAGCTCATCTTCGTGTCGACGCCGACCCTCCTGGTGGGCATGCACGTCGCTCACCGCCACCGCAGGGCCAAGCGGCGGCGGGGAAAAATCTACAACCTGCCGGGCCAGACCGGAGGGCTTCCCCCGGGAGACAGCGTCGAGCACGAGGAAGAGGAGCAGGACGTGGAGCTGCACCGCTCAGAGATGCCGCCTCCGTCGGGAAGTGCCCCTAGCACCATCCGCATGGACGGTGCGCTCCTGTTCACATACGTGTTCAGCGTGATCTCGCGGATTTTCATCGAGTGCACGTTCCTGTACATCTTCTACACGCTGCACAGCGGGGTCACCATGCCACGTCTGCTGAAGTGCGACGCGTCGCCGTGCCCCAACCTGGTGGACTGCTTCGTGTCGCGCCCCACCGAGAAGACCGTCTTCACCATCTTCATGCTGGCCGTGTCGGCCGTCTGCCTGCTGCTCAACGTGGCCGAGGTGGCCTACCTGCTAAGCCGCGAGTGTTTGTGTCGCTGGCGGCGGCGGCGGCGGCGGGGCCGAGGGGCCACGAGCAGGAACATTCGGACATCTCGGCCCTGCTGAGATCAGCGGTGGGCTGACCACTCACGGCCAGTCGTGGTGCTAGGCATGAGCAGACCAAGCAGGAGCTGAGGGCCCCAACAGGACTCGACGGGCCACAAGAGTTCAAAAAATATGGGCGCATCAAAAATATATCAGCTGAAGTTCAAATCTATATCAACATTACAAGCTAATCAGTGTAAAAGCCAGTAATCACTCATCTCTATTTTGCCTGCATCTCTAATCGATATATTCGTCTACTTTTCTCTTATATCACTACTAACTCTGAATCTCTTGTATACACCTCCTATTGTCGGGTCAACGAAATGAAGGAATGCTTCAGGGTCCCCAAGTGGCCCAGCGTCACCACCGACGACTGCCTTGAGGGTCGTGACCCTCGTCAGCGCCAGACATCGACAGCACATGCTGCGGTTGACGAGATGTTTGTGGACCATCTGAAAAAAAAATATTGTTCTTTCATTAATCATTACAAATATATATTTCAGTGTGTAGATGTAGATGCAGCTTTATTTAATATGTATGCGGATTATTGCTTCAGTGGAGAGTCGTATTCTTTATAAACACTTAAAATGTTTGCATGTAATATTCCATCAGTGACAAGTGGTATCTGAACCAGACATTGACCTTGCACGAGGATGACTTGGCCTTAAATGAGCAAAGCCAGGAATTTTGGCATAAACTTACCCGGTGGCCAAACCAGAAATGGGCCGCATGGATCAATAAAAAGTTCGCGCTGACATAAAGCAGCAACGTCTGTAGGCCGCAATGCGACAGTGGGGCTTGGATAGAGGCTCTGCTGAATCAGAATATTTATTGATACTGGAGGAATCCGATGAGCTATAAAGCTCTTTTCATAGATGTCCAGTAGGGGTGAGTAAGAACGCAGGCAACGTTTTGATCAATTGGTCCAGTTTTACGTGGGGTAAGTCCACAATAGTAACACATCTTTATACCTAAGTTTAGTTTGTCATCGATCTTTATGAAGGTTTTCGTGCTCCCACATTACACACGGAGATATCCATTAGCACTTTCATTTGAGTTGAAAAGCATTAAATAAAAAACACATTTTCATATCCTGTCCAATGGCGTATAATAAGATTTTATATGAAGTACAGTATTGTGTAAATATATAGTGTTTCTTGGAAAAAAAGTTTGAAAATGGGTTTGTGTATATATATTGTAGTGTACAGACCTCATAACACACGTTTATGATATTTTTTTTCCAACAAATTCCCAGATAACCTTGTTTATTTCTGCAGAGATTGCAGAAAGTGAAACATGAAACTTTAAACACTGACGTGTGATAAAACCTGCCAAGAGAATGTTTGCAACAAGTAAAAATACAATACTCGGTTAATTCCTACGTTCATTATCATCGGCCTTGCTCAATCCACTGCTGGATGAACACCTCCCTGCTCCTTCACCTTCCCAACTGATACCCTCGCTGATCGATGCAGAGCTGCTGGTGATTTGGGGGGCTGTGGTTTAGGTGCATGGGGGTGGGGGGGGCTTTACCATACTCCATCACGCTGGATCACGTGGGTTGGTCAGGAAGAGCACATTTCGTTTGGCCTCTTGCTGAGTACTTGACTCCAGTGCTCAGCTCTACCAGGAACTCCGCCACATCAAGGGAGGGCTCCAAGAAGAATAACTGATGAGTTAAGAACCACATAAATGATGTTTACAATGGGATGTCAAATAAAGGATTAATATTATTTTAAATGTATTATTTAAGTATACGGGTAAACACATGGTTTCCTTGCACAGAGACCTATTGGCCAATCTGTTTTGTTTGCATGATGCAATACTGAGCACATGTTCCGTTCAAGTTTACGTTCGCCTACCCCCCCCCCACTCCTAACACTCACAAAACCAGGATTTGTATTTGTGTCTGCCGGCAATGGGGTCACAGAAATCAGTTGAGCTTGCAACAACACTGGGTTGCTGTTTTTATTGGTAATGTTTTCAACAGTGTGGCAGTGTTAACATTCTTACTCGCTGGTTGCACATCACCACCCCTGACTGCTAATGTTCCACTAGGACACCTTTGTCGCAGATGCAGGAGGCGAGGCAGTGTGTACACGGTCTCTCGCTGCATAGCTGCCCATGCAGCGTCTGGTTAACGATTAGCATTGATAGACAACACTCTACCGCGTGCCGCACTCGTGTAGACGGCATTTGCCAGTGAGATGTCGTCGCGGTAGTATTAGCACATTACAGGAGAACCTCTCTTATCCGCAGCGTTATTGCCCACGACTCATATTATCAGCGGCAGCTGTAGGGTCCGTGAAAATCCCTATAATTATCCGGGAGCCATATATAATCCTATTATCTGCAGGGTTATCTACAAATGTGTACTCTGCGGATGGGAGAAAAACCGCAGATGACCCCGCTGATAATAGGATCCATAGAATCACGTTCTAAATTCTGGACTCTACCGAATATGCACTTGTACTGGATATGTATTCATCATCATCATCACTATCAGCCGTAGCGCTCACTCAACGTTCCTGAGCGAGAGTATCTCTCCTTCCCTAAGCTCTACTCAGGTCGCTGCTTTGTTACTTCACGCCGTCTCGGCTCAAATTCCCCGTGACATGTGTGGTTGCTTGAAATAAAAGTGAAATCTGTTTGTGGCCAGCTTCAAGTTGATGACGGTTCACCAGTTCCACGACATCTGGCATGGGAATGACCACCAGCTGACTTCTGTTTCAGGTGCAGCCATTTGCGAGCTGATTTTATTGTATTGCATCATCATACAACCTTCATACAGAGTACTTGTATCGGGAAAGACCATGTTATTCTAAGCTATTTAAACTAAAGTAGTGTATGTTTTGTTTACTAGGTAAAGCCCATTGAGCTACATAGCTCTTTTTTAGAAGCGACTGGCCACAAATGATGGCCCGATAAAGTGGCTTATCACGTGGACATTTCTAGCAGCCAAATGCTCTAAAACGCATGTTTCTAAATGTGGAGGGGAAAACCGGAGGACCCAGAGAAAAATTCGTGTGACCAATGGGAGAGAGACACGCAAACTCCAAATATTCAGGCATCAGGGTCGCGATCGAACCCACGACATCCTGTATACCAGGCGAGGTAGTTAACATCTCACCATAGAGAGAGACACGCAAACTCCAAATATACAGCAGGCATCAGGGTCGCGATCGAACCCACGACATCCTGTATACCAGGTGAGGTAGTTAACATCTCGCCACCGTGGCTCTCTGATAGTCATGGTGAGTGTTTATTTGTTGTCGAGGGCTGAATATGTTGGAGGGGATAAAAGCATGCGTAACACATTAAGGTGTTTGTAACTCGGGATAGTGTAATATTTACTCCAGTCCTTTTAAACATTTACACATTCAATGTACCACGTTATTAAATGCCATGCAGCGTATTCTCCACGACGTGTTTTCTCTGGACACGTGACACACAAGCCAGGCATTGACAACAGCACTCAAGGTGCCCCACTATTCACCTGCAGGTAAGGCCAAACAGTTACTGCATGTGCATTATACATCATGTGTAAGAGTCCAGTGAAATCGCAACTGTGAGAAACATCCGTACATTGTGTTGCTGCATTTCTACCCGCTTATAAGCTGTTAAGTGTATGTTGTGTGTAATGATGTAAAGTATGTTGAGTACAAGATTATGAACAATATACAGACTTGTTCTAAATTTTCACGCCACCATAATTTTTACTTTTTGGTTAAAGCAATTCAAATGTAAAGTGTTTTTAATTGTACGGTACAATACAGTATACCTTATTCTTAACTTGTGGCTATGTCCAGTTAATGTAGCCTCTAAAGTACTCATTTATTGATTCCTGATAATTGTACAAAAATAATGCAGATTAATGTATATATGTTGCATATTTTGAAGAAGAGTTAGCTGTATGAGTTCATTTCTTGTACGACTGCGTGTTTCCATCACTTTATCTGCATCCACTAATTTACTCACACCACATGTCACGTGCATTAAAAAAACACAAGCAATGCGCATCAACATATCAGTCCTAACAAGAATGATCTTCGAAGCCAGAAGTCCCATTATTGTGTGCTGTCGGCAGTTCGGATTGTGTCCTGCACCTCACATCTTCTAACAAGCGCCGTGTCCTGTCATGTAATGGAAAACATGTTTACGTGAGGCAATACCATTAAAAAGTAATTACGTTAAATGAATCCATTCATGTAAACTCGATGTTAAACTGTTAGTTTGGAAAATGTTTTGACCGTATATTTTTAACTTACATTTTTTAATTGCATATAACAGTGTAACAATTTTTTTTGTTCCTGGGTAGTAAGTGTTATTTCCTAATTGTTTATGCCTCAAAAGTACAGACAATGGATATTATTCCCCACAAACTTTGCTTTTGTGACCAGGCGTGTGATATTTAGAAATGTACCTATTTTCCAGAACATTCCAGATAGATTAAGTGCTGAATAAACTTGGAGTAACTTCTAGAACATTCTAGAACTTTCCAGTAATATAAATAGTAGTATAAATACAGGGGCCTTAAGCCCACCAGTTCAGTTTAGTTCCAGCTGCCTAAGTGGATACATATCTGCATTTTTATGAGATGGCATCAAGAGGCTGCAAGCATCCGGCAGACGCATTTTGCAATGTCTGCGGACAATTTACCAATACAAGAGTGAAAAAGTACTCTGTGGAAGCATCTGCTAAGATGTATGAGGCCTACAAGGCATATTTCGGCATGCCTGTCGGGAATAAAGACAAACCCTGGGCACCTCATTTCACCCCATGAGCAATGCAAAAAAAAACTCTGAAAGGTAAGATGGACAATTATTTCTCGGAATTTTATGTTATAAAATTTGTTCAAATTTTTACAAATGTTTTACAATTTTCAATGTTATTGAAAAAATATATCACATGAAAAATGTTGCGAGAATCTCTTACACATTAGTCATGGGTGAAATAAATATATTTTTGTAGGGAAAAAAGAGCCATGAAGTTCGCTATCCCAATAATTTGGCTGGAACCCACTGATCACTCAAGCAACTGCTACTTCTGCAAGGTGGACCCTTCCAAACGTTGGACTGGCAAGAATGCACCTGCTATCACGTATCCGGACCTTCAATCCATCGCCCCGGTACCACACTGCCATGAGCTCCCCGTAGCAACTCCTCCTGAGAGAGAGCAGCCGTCTCTAGAAGAGAGCAGCAAGTCAGAGAGTGAGGAAGACATAGATCCAGATGACAATTTCAGAGGTGGAGCTGAGGAGAGAAACCCATACTACCCCAACCAAAAAGACCTCAACGACTTGACAAGAGATATTGGTCCCACAAAGTCCAATGCCGAGATTTTGACGTCTAGGTTCAAGCAGTGGAACGTGTTGGATGAAAGTGTGCAAGTCGCAGATCAGAGGAAGCGTCACCAACATTTTTGCAGCTTCTTCACCCGTCAAGATGGGCTCTACTTCTGCCACAATGTGGCCAGTCTGTTCGAGGCAATCGGAATCGCCTGTAACCAGAATGAGTGGCGCCTCTTCATTGACAGCTCATCCAGGAGCCTCAAAGCCGTGCTGCTCCATCATGGTAACAAGTACCCGTCTCTTCCCTTGGCTCACTCGGTGCACCTCAAAGAGGATTACAACAGCATCAAGACCTTGCTGGACACTTTGAAGTATGATGAATATGGCTGGGAGGCCATCGGAGACTTAAAAATGGTGGCATTCCTGATGGGTCTCCAAGGCGGTTTTACCAAGTTTCCCTGCTATCTTTGCCATTGGGACAGCAGGGACACCAAGGCGCACTACCACAGGCGGGACTGGCCACAGCGGACCGAGTTCTCTGTGGGGAGGAACAACGTCAAGTGGGAGCCACTGGTGGATCCCCGGAAGGTGCTGATGCCACCACTGCAAATCAAATTTGGCCTTACGAAACAATTGAACAGCGAAGCTCACTAGTCAGGAGAAAGCGGCTTGGAACAACTTTGTCGCATTGGTTCATGCCTTCCTGGGCAATCACAAGGTCGAAAACTACGTGGAGCTGGTTGAGACTCTGGTGAAGAACTACGGCACAATGGGCTGTAGGATGTCCCTCAAAGTCCATATCCTTGATGCTCATCTTGATAAATTCAAAGAGAACTTGGGAGCGTACTCGGAGGAGCAAGGCGAGCGCTTCCACAGGGATATACTGGACTTTGAACGCAGCTACCAAAGACAGTATAACGAGAACGTGATGGGAGACTACATTTGGGGGCTGATTCGTGAAAGTGATTTACAGTATAATTGTAAATCTCGAAAAACTACTCACTTCTAAATCTTTTGTAGTCATTTTTGTATTACTTTAGTATAAATACATGTTAATTTTGATGCATATGTATTTTTTCGGACTTTATGTGAACGAAAAGAGAAAAATTCGCCCGTTTTCTCATTGAAAATAGGTAAATTTCAAAACAGCACTGTTCTGGTCACAAAAGCAAAGTTTGTGGGGAATAATAGCCATTTTCTGTACTTTTTAGGCATAAGCAATTACGAAATAACACTTACTACCCAGGAACAAAAATTGTGTTACATAGTGTAATCCCTTGAGATGGAACATCTTGTTTGCAAGGATCTCAAGGGTGTCAATTGACACATATACACACATACGGTGATGATGTGTAAAAAATTGTAATCTTTACCTTAAACTGCTGGTGGAAAATACTTCACCACCATCTTTTGAAATCCTTTCAACATTTGCAGACAGAAACGTATATGTATGTGGAATAGGATGCTAAAGGTACAGATACATACCTTTATTCAAAGTGAGAAAAATACAGATTATGATTATAGTGAAAACAATAAAATGTAGAGATTTGCCTCCAACAAGTGTGCCTCAGATTTAATTAAAAATCAATAGTACTGCACAGTGAAACTTAATTGTCTTATCCGTAACCATATTATCCGATCTTCCTATTATACAGAGCCCCACATTGTTGCACAAAACACTCCTATGGTTCGTATTTATTCGCCAAACAAATCAGAAATGGATCCTGGGATGGCAAACCCATCCCATGATCCGTGTTTCTGATTAATATCGCGTATGAGCCCACGCCAGGTTTCCCCTGTCCACGGGAGTCACAGGCAGATTGCTGTTCGTTTTAGTGACCGTCTCTGGGCAACGCGCCAAAAGCCCAAAACGCCAAGCGACCAGCAACAAACAGCACCAGAGAAGATGCCAGAGTACCGCACTGGAATAAACGAGAGCAACAACAGGGCTGTAATATGTTCTGTAATGGGTTTCGTGAATTCGTCAAGGTCGACGTTAGCACTCGACACTGCTGAAGGAGTACGTGGGTGAAGTTCATGGCGTTAACAATGAAAGGTTATTATTATTATTTTATTTATATTATTATTTATATTATTTTATTATTACATTTTATTATTATTCATTTTTACCTACGTGACTTTACCGAAAAAACCTAAGAGTATGAATCCTTGCAGTCACGAAAACTTCAAATCTAGAATGGAAGGTTGATCAGGAGGCGACTGGCCCTTGGGTGAACGAGGAGCTGGGGTGAGTCGCTGAGTGCTGAATCATCAATCAATCTCGCCGCTTGACTGCAGATTTGCTGATTTGATAACGAATCTGTGCATTGTTTGACGCCAAGAAAACGATGGCACGGCACTGCTGTGCCTCTTCCTTCACATCCGGGCATTGTGCCAACAACGACAACTCACACATCTCGTGATTTAGCTGCAGGAAACAGAAAGTAAGCGGGTTAACTAAAAGCATAGCCACCAAATAAAATAATAAAATAACATCATCATACCGACCCAACCTCAGTAATTCAAGCAGTGCCCCCTCCCCTGCATTGCTGCTGGGGAAGTTGACCGGGGTAGGTGCCAGGGGGTCTGGTACGTGGCTGTGTGGGGGGCCAGCCCGCGTGCCAGCACATCTCGGGGGCTTTCCGCACTAAACAACATTCATAGACCCCCTCCTCCTCCTGCTGCTGTCAACGTGAGAACACCACGAGTTTATAGTAATGATCATGATGTGACGCACAGACTGACACATGCGGTGAGATGGGCTAAACGTCTAACAACGATGGAGCGAGACGCGATGCGACTCATTGGCTCGTTGCGCTCTCTGCATCGTCCCCCCGGCTCGAGTTGGGGGGGGGGGGGCCTTGCGCTGCTTGGGGCCCCCTGAAGTCTCCCACCACCCCCTACCACCCCCACCACCACCTCCCACCACCCCCACCACCACCCCCCACCACCCCCACCACCACCCACCACCACCCACACCCCCACCCCCCCCCACCCCCCTCCCCACCAACCCCCACCCCCCACCACCCCCACCACCACCCCCCACCACCCCCACCACCACCCACCACCACCCACACCCACCCCCCACCACCACCCCCCCCACCCCCCGGTGCCTCAGCCCGCAGCACGCACTGACACCCTGCGCTGTCTGCAGCCGCTCCGCGTGCGAGGAAGTGCACGAACTATGGCGGAGCAGGGGGGAGAAGACGCCACGACGACAGTCGCCATCATCGGGAGGTAAGACGACGCGTGTGGATTCCTACTCCACAAGTAACACAACTCGCGTGTAGATTCCTACCGCACAAGTAACACAACTCGCGTGCGTCCTGAGCGACAGAGAACAACTTCACAGCATGTCGACTGCAGCCAGACCCGCCGTATGGTCCACACGTGTACACACACACAGGGCGTGCGTACGTGTGTGTACGTGTGTGTACGCGCGCGTGCGTGTGTGTACACACACGGGGTACACACACAGGGCGTCCACGTGGGCAGCAGCTCGTGTTTGAGTCAACTCGCGGATTGATGCACGAGGGCATCATCATGCCCGTGGGCGGCTTACTTTGACCATACTTCACCACGCTGGTCAATGCGGGTCGGCGAAGGCGGGGAACATAGAAAGGCGTACAGTTGTGTACAACACTGGATGGTGTTGCATTGTGTGATTGGGCCTCCCGCTGCTGCACACACCAACTAAACCACGCAGCCTGTAGACACCTGGCTACTGCAGGTGGCGGCCCACCCACGAGCACTGTCCAGGCTCAACGCCTGCTTAGCTTGCGACTGAGTGCCGCACTGTACACGCACGCGCTGCCGCACTGTACCGCCACGTGCCGATTTCCAACTTTGCCGAGCTCACAACCCACCATCAGCTGAGAATGTTCACGCGATTACAACAATTAGTGACGCAGTGTGGTGATCATTACCGGTGAACAATGCTACGCAGGCAATCGCCACGTTGAGTCAATGACCAGCTGTGTTGACCGCCCCGTTCGTGAACTCTATAAACAAAGTAATGTCGTGCAAATATTAAACAACATTAATGTGAGGGGGGGGAAACATCCCAAGTTCAATGTCGATGTTGGGTGCAATGCGGTTACTGGAGTACAGATCTTCAGTACAGGTACTCTGTGTAAGTGTATAGTACTGTGTATACATGTCTGTGTATTAGGATTTAAGTGTACCACATTCTTATAAAGTGTTATACTTCACATTGTATCGCTCTGGACATAATGTAATGTAGGTAGTGCAGTACAATGCAATGTACTTCACTGTATACAGGACTGAATATATTCCAGCAGTAACCAGACAGTGTTTTACGGTAAAACTAAACAATAAGTCGAGATTACAGTAGAAATTACCACGGTAAAGTTACTCTGTCTGGCATAGTAAGTGGGAGGCTTTGCCAGTGCCATGCACAGGTCGGTTCGAGACTACAAACTGTTGTTAATCCAGCAGTGGAATAAGATACTGCTAGATCATGTACACACTGACAATTACTATCTCATGTACTACCTGCTAATATCGTGTGTGTGTTCGTGTGTAGCCAGATCAACGATGAGCCCTTGCGGGCCATGGGTAATATGTGACCATACTTCACCACTCTGGTGAGTGCAGGTCGGTGTGGGAGCGGGGTGCAGGCCACCGATGGGCTGTGACCTGCTCGTGGTGCACAGTGGGCGCCCATCCGAGCGCGACCCAGGCTCGTGTCAGCTGGGCTTCATCCGAATTGTAACGGGACCTGGGTGACATTCAGGCCGACTCGGTCATTGGCGATGTACAAAGACAAAGATCCCCCGTGTAGCCCAAACAGACTGTTGGGGCAAGTGCTGTTAGCGAGCACCTATTAAGGCCGGCACGGCACACGAAGGGGTGAGTGACCAGCACCACGCCCGGCCGCCTTTGTCTCCATAGTGGTGATGTTTATCGCACACCGCACCAGGTCCTCGTTTGAAGCTGAGTAGACCTAGGGGAGGCCCAGAACCGGTTCAGATAATCGCCAACGGTGTTGGTGGCCGTGAGTGGGACTCGAACTCGGGTCACCGGGTTCGCAGCGCAGCGCTAACCGCTGCGCCACCGCTCCCCACGTGCACCACGTAGACCACGAGTCCACAAATAAAATAACAAGACCAGACATTGTTTAAACATTGGCAAACAACTCAATACGACGAGACATTGCTCCTTAATACAGAACGTCACGAAGCAGCTGTCCTTAATGAGCCGTAGGTTGCCGGCCACTGCCAATAGTAAACTGGACTCCCATGGTGAACTGGACTCCCATGGTGAACTGGACTCCCATGGTGAACTGGACTGCCATGGTGAACTGGACTGCCATGGTGAACTGGACTCCCATGGTGAACTGGACTCCCATGGTGAACTGGACTCCCATGGTAAACTGCACCCCCATGGTGAACTGGACTCCCATGGTGAACTGGACTCCCATGGTAAACTGCACCCCCATGGTGAACTGGACTCCCATGGTGAACTGGACTCGTACGGTCAGGGGTCGGCAACTAAAATAACACGAATAATTTTTTTTCGAATTCGGTAAAATACTCAGGATTTTAAGGGGCACGATGCAGTCTTTAAAACGCCACTGGATGCCCCTTGCTTAATACACTGCTGCAGTGTTGGACTAAGGAAGTCTATAAACAGTTGATGTCACACACCGTACACTCCTATTTGCTATTCTAAAATTAACTGCCGCTGATGCCGCACTTGACATGAATCTGTCGGTGTTTGACTCGGCAGATGTCGGTGCATGGTCATTTAGCACGTAGGTCAGACATCAAAGACAAAGATCCCCGTATAGCCTAAACAGACTGTTGGGGCAAGTGCTGCTAGCGGGCACCTATGAAGGCCGGCACAGCATACGAGGGGGTGGGTGGCCCACACCACGCCCGGTGGCCTTGGTATCCCTCGTGATGTTTACACACCTCACCAGGTATTCATTTGAGGCCGAGTCGCCCTAAGGGAGGCCCAGGACCAGTTTAGATAATCATCACCGCTGTTGGCCGTGAGCGGGAATCTAACTCTGGTTTGCCGGGTTCGTAGCGCAGCGTAGCGCTGTAGGTGAGACATCACCCCTTGTTACACGGCATTGTGGTCTTGTACTACCGTTTGTCTCGCACCAAATCACTCGGCATGGGCCTGGTTTTGTCAGATCTTACGAGCTGAGTAAGGTTGAGCCTGGATAGTTATTGGACGGGTGATCTCTATCCACGTGCTTCGCCGCTACGTGCTGGGCAACAGAAGGGAGCGTAAATAAATCCACTGCTCCATTGTACTTCTTTGCTATTTGACCTCACCGACCCACACTGTCCAGCGTGGTGAAGTATGGTCATGATTACCCACACGGCATGGGGGGAACCCTCATCCAGCAACTCATCTGTTTAAAATATGAAAGAACTTGCATGTTGACAGGTTGGATGTGTATGGAAATTTCAGTGATTTTGGGTTAAACTCTTCACTGATGAAGACACTTGTGTTTGGTGAAATATTAACAGTAAACTATTATTAGTACTAGAATTGCATTGCATTAGCGTTGCCAGTGCCTCATAAGTGCATTGAAGGAATAGTGAATTCACGCCTGTGCTTGTAGAGAAATGACGCTTGTTAAACATGTGCTTTAATTTTAACACGAGTGATTCCCTAATTGTGTTCTGTCATTTCACGAAGTGGTGGCACGCCCTCGTTCGTGTTCGTCGGCAGAGTTTCACACTGCACCAGGGAGAGAGCCGAGAAGCGGACACCTCGCGTGCCCTCGAGCACGATGCCCATACCCCTTAATGCTCCGTCAAGAATGCCACCCTCGGCAATGTATCACTCCCGAGTTAAACCATGTGGTGTTAAATGAAACTTCTAAATTTGAGATCATCAAATGCACAAGTTTTAAATGTCCGGCATACCATATTGCATGGCCAGCATGAGACGCTCCCTAAGCTGCTGCCACTTCTCACGATTGTGAGACTACTCCACCTAGTACCTCCACACAAGCTGATTTCTTCATTCCGTCTCCTCGGTTGACGTACTCGCGTCATGCACCGCGTGCCGTTTAAACAACTTTCTTTTTTCAAAAGTGGAATAAGCCAAATCAAGTGAAACGTTAATTTTAACTGTGATTGGTTTTGTTGTGCAGTTGTTGGTGGCTGTGCTGAGACTTATCAACTCAAAGCAATTTGAAACTTCTGTTCAATGGCAGGTTGTGTGGATATCATACCTGTCGACCCGTACGGATTACGCGTATTGTTGTACATGGAAATTGAGTGTTTGGGTCCATACGGCGTACAGCCGTTTCGATACGGGCTTTGTAAGATGAACGTTGAGATTTACAAGGGCACGGGGTGACCAACAAGGTCTGAGTTGGTCTGTAATGAGGTAGGGGGCACTGATTAGGGGTTGACGGTATGGGATATGAACCCAGGACCTCTGTGATACCGACCCAGTGTGCTGACACAAAGTAACCCCCCCCCCCCCACGTCTGTGACCAAAGTCGCTTAAACGCCGCACATTCAAAGTGTTCAGTGACAGAAGCATCACATTGTCCTGGGCACTTGAGCCCCACCACACAGGGGCTTTGACATTACTGTGTTAATTTGTATTCATTAAGCTACTGGGCTGTTATTGTGTAACTTATTACGTGAAGGGAGATTTAACATTGACCATTGAGTTTGTAAACACGATGAATTGACAGATAGGGCCCCAGGTAGCGGATTTTATCTTGAAGTGTTGCTATTTTTGCTAATGTGTGCGTGTTTTGTCAAAGATAGCCGTAAACACGCAGCTCTGACATTATTGCCCAGTCCGCCACTGCTGGCAAAAGGGCCTCCACGGGAGGGAGCTCTAGTGATCCCCACTCAGAGGCTCTTGGCCTACTCTTCCACACTTGCATGACGTCTAAAAAGAGGTGGGAGTGTACCCACACACAGACCCATCACGCGGGACCCACCGATCGTTGAACTGGCGTTACCAATTTACACCGCTCGGTGGACAGAGGTGGAGGAATGTAAGAGACTTGCCCTCTTGTGTGTCGCTGCAGCGCCAGGAGTTTGCACCGGTGACCTCTGGATTTCAAGTCCACTGTGTAAACGGTCAACCTGGGGCAGTTACTATCAAATACAAGAGCTGTATTTGCTTTTTAATATTATCAAAGGCTTTTTTTTTATTTTCCAGCAAGTTGCGCACTTCAGGTGGTGTTTGACGTCCTAAGTGAGAACTGCGACCCCCAGAGAGAGACGGCGCCGCTCCCACGGTCGCCCCCCCCCCCCCCCCGTGATCCGTGGATCAAACAGATCACTCGAGACGCCGGTGGATAGCAGCAAGAGCAGTCTATGCGTACGCTGCGGCAATCGGCCACACGATTGGCGTCACGTTCCTTCGCCGACCGCACGTGATGAATGAACCAATGTCTGCCTGCGTGTCGGTGTTGCGTGTCTTACAGCGGGCTAATTGGCCGGAGCTGGGCCATGCTGTTTGCTGCCGCGGGCTTCCCCGTGCGCCTCTACGACTCGCTGCCCGGCGTCGTGGAGAAGGCCCTGCAGGCGATCCGGTACCGAGATACTCGCCCCATAGACACGACGAGGGGGCATCGAGGTCACAAGAGCAGCACAAATGTCAAGGAGAACGAGGAGTGAGAGTGAGCCATGATCGGAGGGGAACGTCATTGACGAAGGCGTAAGAATGTAGAATTACCTTTAGAAGAAATCGGAATGCACTGGGTCATGGAGGCCATTGGAAAATGACCCTTACTAGGACTTTGCGAAGGATAGGGAGGTTTGAGAGAGGATCAACATCAGGCGTTTACAGTATTTGGCTGCTATACGTTCCACATGATAAGCCACTGATGAGCAATCATTGGTGGCCAGGTCGCTTCTGAACAAGAGCTACATAGCTCAGTGGCCCTTAACTCGTAAAATAAAAAGATGTTTTTTTAAATCCCGCATTTTCTCTCTGTAAAATATAGACAAGTTTGGACATACCGCGAGCTCGCGAGAGCTGCCCTCTGCTGGCTATTTTGGCCTCTGCTGGCATGCTGCACAGACTTGTTACAGGTGCTGGGAGTACCCACACTTTATCTCGCCCAATGCGACCTGCCAATCGATAAACTCTCATGTTCCCATTGACACTGATGGGTGGACAGAGGCAGTCGTGGGGGGATTCACGAAACTTGGCAATTGTTGCAGCTGCCGTGCCGGGAGATTGCACCTAAGCTGCCGGCCTCTGGATTACAAGTCCAGTGCTAATCCGTGCACCGCAATAGCCTGAAGAAGCAGTATCAACTCGACAATCCGAGAGGACAGCTTCCCACTCGCCTAACACATCACCACGCAGCCTAACACGTCACCACGCAGCCCTAACACGTCACCACGCAGCCCTAACACGTCACCACGCAGCCCTAACACGTCACCACCCAGCCCTAACACGTCACCACGCAGCCCTAACACGTCACCACCCAGCCCTAACACGTCACCACGCAGCCCTAACACGTCACCACGCAGCCCTAACACGTCACCACGTAGCCCTAACACGTCACTATGTAGCCCTAACACGTCACCACGCAGCCCTAACACGTCACCACGCAGCCCTAACACGTCACTATGTAGCCGTAACACGTCACCACGCAGCTGTAAGACGTCACGCAGCCCTAACACGTCACCACGTAGCCCTAACACGTCACCACGTAGCCCTAACACGGCACCACGCAGCCCTAACACGTCACCACGCAGCCCTAACACGTCACCACGTAACCTAACACGTCACCATGCAGCCCTAACACGGCACCACGCAGCCCTAACACGTCACCACGTAGCCCTAACACGTCACCACGTAGCCCTAACACGGCACCACGCAGCCCTAACACGTCACCACGCAGCCCTAACACGTCACGTAGCCCTAACACGTCACCACGCAGCCCTAACACGTCACCACGCAGCCCTAACACGGCACCACGCAGCCCTAACACGTCACCACGCAGCCCTAATACGTCACCACGCAGCCCTAACACGTCACCACGTAGCCCTAACACGTCACTACGCAGCCCTAACACGTCACCACGCAGCCCTAACACGTCACCACCCAGCCCTAACACGTCACCACGTAGCCCTAACACGTCACCACGTAGCCCTAACACGTCACCACGTAGCCCTAACACGTCACCACCCAGCCCTCACACGTCACCACGCAGCCCTAACACGTCACCACGCAGCCCTAACACGTCACGACGCAGCACTAACACATCACCACGCAGCCCTAACACGTCACTATGTAGCCCTAACACGTCACCACGCAGCCCTAACACGTCACTACGTGGCCTAACACATCATCACGCAGCCCTAACACGTCACCACCCAGCCCTAACACGTCACCACGCAGCCCTAACACGTCACTACGCAGCACTAACACGTCACCACGCAGCCCTAACACGTCACCACGCAGCCCTAACACGTCACTACGCAGCACTAACACGTCACCACGCAGCCCTAACACGTCACTACGCACCACTAACACGTCACCACGCAGCCCTAACACGTCACCACGCAGCCCTAACACGTCACCACCCAGCCCTAACACGTCACCATGTAGCCCTAACACGTCACCACGCAGCCCTAACACGTCACCACGCAGCCCTAACACGTCACCACGCAGCCCTAACACGTCACTACGCAGCACTAACACGTCACCACGCAGCCCTAACACGTCACTACGCAGCACTAACACGTCACCTCGCAGCCCTAACACGTCACTACGCAGCCCTAACACGTCACCACGCAGCCCTAACACGTCACCACGTAGCCCTAACACGTCACCACCCAGCCCTAACACGTCACCACTCTCCTAACACGTCACCACGTAGCCCTAACACGTCACCACGTAGCCCTAACACGTCACCACGTAGCCCTAACACGTCACCACGTGGCCCTAACACGTCACTACGTGGCCCTAACACGTCACCACGTAGCCCTAACACGTCACCACGTGGCCCTAACACGTCACCACGCAGCCCTAACACGTCACCACGCAGCCCTAACACGTCACCACGCAGCCCTAACACGTCACTACGCAGCACTAACACGTCACCACGCAGCCCTAACACGTCACTACGCAGCACTAACACGTCACCTCGCAGCCCTAACACGTCACTACGCAGCCCTAACACGTCACCACGCAGCCCTAACACGTCACCACGCAGCCCTAACTCGTCACCACGTAGCCCTAACACGTCACCACCCAGCCCTAACACGTCACCACTCTCCTAACACGTCACCACGCAGCCCTAACACGTCACCACGTAGCCCTAACACGTCTGACGCTATTGGACAGTAAGTCCTCGTTTAACACGGTTCCTGAAAAGTGCAGCGTTAAGCAAAAAACGCATTAAGTGAAAACTATTTCCTGTAAAAAATATAACGATAAACTTTGGCGAGATACGATGTACGCACCCGTCGTGAGATGGCGGGACTAATAACTGAGGATACGCCGCCGTGTTGTTGTATCATTCCGTGTAATGTATCACCGTCGCGCTCAACCACGCAGCTAAAGAGAGCAGTTGGTCGTCGACCGCTCAGAAACTACGTTATAACGGAGCATCTTCCGCGTTATAACGGAGCGCGTTCCGCGTTATACCGGTGTGCGTTCCGTGTTGTGCGAAAAGTGTTCCCGAATGGGAGAACGCTGTGATAGCAAACATGCGTTGAGAGCGATCCCCCAGGCAAGAGACAATCTTCCCAACAGGGGGAGCCATCAACACACATTGCAGAAGCTGACGCTGGTTGGAATGAACTGCTGTCTTTAAAACCATGGAACTATAATGGAATCTCATCACCGTACCACATCCATCGTTGTCTGTCTTAGCTACCTGGGGTAACAAACACGGATGCTGATACCAATATAGCAGACGGAGACGCACTTTGCCTTTAACAGTTCAACTCGACGAACATTTACACTGATCACCTCTGCACAAATACTTTATATGCACGCCAAATCCAGTTTTTATGTAATGTAACCAGGTATTGGCTGATTGAGATTCATGATAGATTTTCTGGCAGTTCTTATTGAACTATATCTATCAATAATATCTTTTACCCAGGAAGCCTTTCTGAGTGTCAGGCCTCATTTTCAAGAGTTCCTACAAAGTTTTACCAATTACTTGAATGACTGATAAGTGGGAGGACTTTCACATACCCGGAGAGGACCCACGCATACGAGGAGCTAATTACACTTGAAGCTCCATACAGATTCAAGACTGCCATTGCGTTGCTGACATCTCCTGGCCATTCACAGCCCACGCCCACAGCACCTGTCATGATATTGTTTCTATAATTGTGAGTTCGCCTCTGTATTGTCCACTCTGTGCGGTGTAAGCTCCACAGCTTTGACAACGGCTCATCGCGGTGATGTTTGCCTCGTCTAGATACAATCCACGATTTCTAAGCCAAAGGTGCCCGATCTATGCACAACGAAGCACTTGTGTCGTGTGCGCTTGCGTCTTGCCGCCAGGGAGAACCTGAATTCCCTCGCGGCATCCGGCTCCCTGCGTGGAGCCCTGCCCGTGGACTCTCAGCTGTCTCTCATCCAAGCCGTCACCGATCTGTCAGAGGCGGTTAGCGGTGTGGATTACGTGCAGGTGAGAGCTTCAACCTCTCTCAGTGCGCGACCGATCCACACTCGAGCCCGGCACAGCTCAGGAGGTGCTAGGTTTTAGTTTTTTCCACTGAAGAAGTTTTTTTCCCCGCCACCTCCAAATAGCATGGTTTGCTACGTATGGTGCGAAAGAAGTTCAACGTACAGACGGAAGTTGAGCAGTGCTCGAGTTCTTACACGCGTGTAAATAACACAGTGACGCTGTGTCAGACTTTTAACGACGTCACCTCTGGGTCTACTTGACCCCGAGCCGGATTCAGATGTTTTTGTGAGGCCAGCGCACCATGGTTTGGTTCTGGCTCGGCTCGGCAGATCGACAATGGAAAACCGTACCACGACGGCCCCGCTCTGGCCTGGCTCGGATGTAACCAGGGGTTTTTTTCTCTCTCCTTCCTCTGTTCCCTTCGATCAGACGCTAGGCGTTTTGAGATGCTGGGCACATTGAAGTTCCATGTCGATGAAGAAGCCCGTCCCTACTGCGGCTCGTGTCTCCCTTGCAGGAGTGCATCCCCGAGGACGTGAGCATGAAGGAGGAGCTGTACCGGCAGCTGGACCCGCTGCTGGGGCCCGGCACGGTGCTCGCGAGCTCCACCTCCTGCCTGCTGCCCTCGGCCCTCTTCGCCGAGCGACGATACCCGGCCAACTGCCTCGTTTGCCACCCCGTGAGAGCGTCACAAGAGTTGTGCCATCGTGTGCGGGTGGCGTCGCGGCTCAAACTTGACAAGTTTGAAATATGACCCTCAAAATTTCTCATTCGTAGCAAATCATCGCCACCCCTCCTCTGTGTACTGTGAAAGCTTGGTAGGACCCTCCTGAAAAATACCTATGAGACTGGAGGTATTTCCTGGGTAAACGACCATCGAAGTGATCATGGTCTGTCATTAATATTACACGTTAGCATCATCATCGTCATGAATGGCACCGTCGTTACCAATGTCTCCGTTGTCGTTTCACCAGCAGTATAAACATCACGGCCGGTTCATTTCTAATTCACTGGCATTGTCACCATTATTGTCGTGCCTGGAGTTTATTCACTTGCGGCGGAATTCAAAACGAAAAACACTTCGCCGCCATACATGCTCCTTGCCAACTTGACCAATGACAATATGACCGCTCTGTGTGCGTTCTCACGCACACGGAGCGGTAGCGTCGTGGTGAGCGCGCTGCGCTACAAAACCGGCGAACCGAGTCGGAGTCCCGCTCACGGTCAACACCAGTGACGATTCTATCAATGGGACCTTTTTGCCAGTATCCAAAATTATGAAAAACTAGCTGTACTACCCGGCTTCGCCCGGGACTTGTATCTACCACGGCCGGCCGCCTTTGTCTCCCCAGTGGCGATGTTAATACGCTACAGTAGTTAAGTTACTCGTTTGAGGCAGAGTCGACCTAGGGGAGGTTCAAATAATCGTCACCGGTGGTGGCCGTGAGCGGGAATCGAACTGGGTTTGCCGGGTTGGTAGCGCAGCGTAGCGTTAAGCACTACACCCACCGCTCCTCACACACCACACACGCACAGACACACACACAGACACACACACAGACACACGCAGACACACACAGACAGAAACACACACACAGACAGCACGCTAACCACTACACTACCGCTCCCCACACACCACACACGCACACACACAGACACACACACAGACACACACACAGACACACACACACAGACACACACACACAGACACAGGCAGCACGCTAAGCACTACACTACCGTTCCCCCTACACAACACACGCGCGCGCGTCCATAGGTACACATACACGCGCTTGCTGCAGACACACACGACTTTCAGGGTGCATACGGCAGTAAACGACTGAAATAATAAAGCGGCAATGCTGTGTAAGGAACGCCTTAGACCCGCATTATACATTTGTGTAATGCGAGCGTAAACACACAAACACACACAAACACATACACAATACACACACACATACATGCAGACACACAGACAGACACATAACACACATACATACACACACATACAAACACAGAAACACATACACACACATACATAGACACACACATACATACACACAAACACATCCACAGACGTACATACACACATACATACAGGCACGCAGACATACACATAAACACATACAAAAAAACCCACATACATACACACACACATACACACAAACACATGCACACACATACATACACACATACATAGAGACACACAGACATACACATAAACACAAACACACATACACATGACCCGGCTTCGCCCGGGACTTGGATCCACGATGCCCCGCCGCCTTTGTCTCCCCAGTGACGATGTTCACACACGACAGCAGTTACGCTTTTGAGGCTGAGTGGACCTAGGGGAGGGCCAGGTCCGTTTCAAATAATCGTCAGCGGTGGTGGGCGTGAGTTGGAATCGAACTGGGGTCGCTCAAGCAGCTTAATGACTGTTTGTACAAAGAACATATAAAGAATCGATTATAATAACCAGGCAAGAGTCCACATTATAGACTGCCAGTACACGCACTCAGCTTCATAAGCAGGCTAGAGTGTACATGATAGAGTGGCAGTACGCTCACCGAGCTTAATAAGCAGGCTACAGTGTACATGATAGACTGGCAGTACGCTCACCCAGCTTAATGAGTATTTGTACAGTGAACATTAAAGTAATCGATTGTTGGCGCGTTGGGTTTAAAAGTAATATTAATAGCACACATTGTGGTGGGGGTGTAGTGAAGAGTAGGAAAAACTTTGATGAATTTACCTCAGAGTGGCGTGGTGGGTGTCGAGGCCTAGTAGCGTGCAAAGCCTGCGGCCTCGCCTAAAATTGTCGGCTTGGAAAAGGCAGGGTACGGGTGGCGTTCCTTCCCCCCCCCCCCTAGCGCTCCAACAATACTGTGTAATGGCTATTATTTAATTAAATACGGAGCTTATGAAAGTGGCGAAGGCGTGGCTAGCCGTTGGCAGGGGCAACCGCCGTCCAATGAAACTGCAGCCCTTGGCGAAGGCGTGGCTAGCCGTTGCCAGGTCCAATGAAAGCGGCGAAGGCGTGGCTAGCCGTTGCCAGGGGCAACCGCCGTCCAATGAAAGTGCGTATGGGCCAAAGTCCACACACACAGACAGACAGACATGAACGATTTTATATATATAGATAAGAGTAGGTTTTTCCCTTTCTGGCAATACAACAGGAGGTGTTAAGATGTTCAAACACCAAATAGGTAACTTTTGCGAGGTATCAAGTCTTTATTGACCACACATACTTGTGGCAAAACATGCAAACAAACATGGTCTGATAATATAAAATCGATTATTATTTTTCACCAGTGACAATTATCTGAACCGGTCCTGGGCCACCCCAAAGTCGACTCCGCTTCAATGTGTGTATGGATGTTGAACTTCTTTGGCACCGTACCTAGCCATCGTGATAATCAGGGGTGCGAGGGAAGGACAACAAACTATACACAAACGAGCACCTGGTGCGGTGTGTAAACATCGCCATTCGGAGGACAAAGGCGGCCGGGCGTGGTGCTGGCCACCCACCCCCTCCTGTGCCGCGCCATCCTTCATAGGTGCTACTCGCTAACAGCACTTGCCCCAAGCAGCCTGTCAAGGCTACGCCGGTGTGGGGGGGGCGACCTTTGTCCGCGTTGGTCTTGCGCGTCTTCCTCGCAGGTGAACCCGCCGTACTTCGTGCGGCTCGTGGAGCTGGTGCCGCACGCCGGCACGAGTGGCGGGACGCTGTCGCGGGCGCACGCGCTCATGACGCGGCTGGGACAAGCGCCCGTCACGCTGCGCCGCGAGATCCCGGGCTTCGCTCTCAACCGCGTGCAGTACGCCATCATCGCCGAGGCGTGGCGCCTCGTCCGCGTGAGCGCCGCACATCCACAGCCCGGTGGGGGGTGTGGGGGGTGTGGGGGGGTGTGAGGGGTGTCGGGGGGGAGTGAGAGAGGTGAGTGGGGTCTAAAGGGGTCGGGGGGGGGGTGAGCTCCCCTGCCTGATTCTCAGCTATCCCGTTCGAGATTCCCGCGGACTGTGTGCGACACTGTCGTTGGAGGTCGAGGAGCATCAACCATCACGGCAACTCCGATCATCCTCGCGGCAGCGGCTTTTGGCTGGCCATCGAACAAAGACGGTCACTGCATCGCCCGGCGCTTTCAGATGCGCGTCTGCGGCCGTCTGGAACGCTCTTCCGATATTAGGAAGCCACTGGAGCTATGCACTTTTAAATCACCCAGATTGACAAATTCATTTATTTATAACTGCTTTTTGTGTTTAGTTTGTTGTCCATCCCCCTAACCTCCGATGAGCACGTTTGCCTACGTACGGTGCGAAAGAAGTTCAACATACATACGTACATGGAGGTGGTTGGAAAAAATGTAAAATTTAGTGGGAATTAAGTGATGGGTGCCGCAACCTTTCATCGTCTGCATTGCTGGTGAGAGCTAGAGCAGAGCGCATGATACGCACCAGCGGTTTAACATTTGTGTACAGTTTTTCAACATTGACTTGTGTCATTCTCTCCTTGAATTTGTGAGTGCCCCATTTAAACGAGGCCATGCTTCAGGGATGAGAGAGACCTCGAGTCAGGATTTCCATGGTAGAAGTGGCATTCGGCACAAAGATGCTGCCGATGGAACCGGATGAGCGGGGAATCGAAGTAGAGGCTGGTAACGGCCTCCTATTGAGTCTGCTTTATATTCAGCGGATGCATGAATGCGGAGAGAGGACTGGATGTGGTGCCAATGGGTAAAATCATTCTGATGGAAAGAAAATAATCGAGGAAGTGTTAGAGTATGGTCTGGAATATAGAAGTCAAATTTGAAGAATTGAGAGAAAGCTAAATAATTGGGTGAGGTGTATGGTCGGAGGTGAAGGCTTGCAGTATGCAGTAGCAGAGAAGTCCATTTTGAACAACATCGAGATGGTGACATGTGTCTACTGGACATCGCATCAGGGGGATAGGCCTTACTGAAGGAAGCTCTGGAAAGAAGAATATTTTTTTGGCGAAGAGACCAAGAGATAGAAAAAGTAACGTGCAGCTCAGTAACTTAAACAAAGTGTGTCCTTGTGCTGAAATGAAAAGAAGATGCAAGATCGGCGAGGAGGGAAGGAACTTGAATCAAACAGCTGCCCTTAGGCAGAGAACTCAAGACGTGAATGACTGACGTGCTAAATGATGCAGTCGCTGCTGTTCAAGTGGAGAGTGATCTGTGTTCTTCTTTGACAGGGAAGCCTCAATCGACACTCACGCCTGCAATCCAGCACCGTAGGGGCGAGGGTTGGGTGATCACACATGCCGTGAAAATCCCTTCCCGTGATTGTCGAGGAACCATATCCTAGCTTGTCAGAAGATGGCAGTACAGCAAGTGGATGAATCTCGATATTTTCCCATCTGTACGCGAGTAGTGTTGCCTGCCTCGTTCGCACGCGCGTGGAGTTTCCCCGGGTACTGCGGTTTCCTCTCACGTGTATGAACACGCATTACATTGGCTGATAACATCTGAATATATAGAGGACCGCAGAGCTTGGGCACGGTGCTGGCACACCGCTGGCCTGCTGCTGCCTTCCCTCTTGTCTGTGATTTCATCGCGCCTCTTTGTGTCTCTGAGAGTAAAATTATAAAAAATGTGACGCAGGTCACCACGTCACATTGCAGAGTAACTCTGCAATGTAAAATGACATTTCTCCTGTTTCTATGACCCTCGGTAATGATAAACGAATCTGACCAGACTCTTTAAATAATACCATCATTGTCAGCCGTGGATGGTTGCCACCACTCCTCCACATCCTGCGATGTGACAATCCGCCTAGAACCTGCACGCAAACTGATTTCATCGCTCCATCTCCTTATCGGTGGTCATCCTCTCGGACACATTGCATTCCTTGGTGGCCACTCTGTCTCTACTCTTGCTCATCGGCCACTTGCCTTACAGCCCCGTGTCCTGCCCAAGTCAGCTTACTGATGTTCACAGCTGGAACGACGCCATTGCCCTGCTTGCGCTCTCTAATGCTGTGGTTGAAAACCTTTCCGAACCTGTGAAAGACCCAACCGAGAAATCCCTGGGTTTGATCTTCCACGAAGCTGCTCATGGTCCACTCTAAACCACATCCACTGCACAAACCACAGCAGTAGATGCGGATACCTGATGATGCACAAGTGAAAAATGTAAACTCCACTGTGCAACTGTGGTTGTCCAGAACAGACCATAGAAGGTCTATAACGACGCAATGCCCGATCCTTACAGCGATCCACTCCGCTACTGCTTCTGACGCAGTTGTCTGGTTTGACCACCTGAATGTGAAATTGTCGTTGTCGCTCTACGTCTCCATCAGCCGTGCGACAGAAGAGCTGCCAACCCTCGGGAGACTTTCACGGACCACCGCTCGAATTCGGAGCGTGCATCTCTCGGTGCTGCTTTGCGCACTGCCCTCCCACTAGGAAGGGCCGCAGTTGTGGTGGGAGCCAGCGTGGGTGCTCGGCACCGGAGGCTGCCTCTGTGGCGCCCGCGGGCGAGGGTCGCGACGGCGCGTGCGCGTTTCGAACGCGTCTCTCATTGTCGCGCCCGCTTCTCTATGCCTGGCTGGTCAAGCGTGCCCCGTAAGCCGAGCCCATCGCTTTGGCACGTGTTGGGTCGCTGATGATTAATTTACAAAGCATTGCCCCGTGACCCACGCTCTTTGGCAGCCTTTGCCCGCGCTCGCGATCCCCCGCCATGCCCGCCGCGCCTTGCGCAGGCACTTATACTTTTGTGTTTTTGTCAGGAGTGGTGGCATGGCAGCCGACGCGCTGCCTGACGAACCCAGACACTTGGGTTTGATTCCTAGCCACGCTCGCTTTTAAGTGGTCGTCCGAACCTGTCGTGACCTACCTCTAAGTTGACTTGGCCTCAAATAAGTATCTAGTTTGGTGTGTAAACATCACTGTAGAGATAAAGATGTTCCATGCCAAATTTAGTGAACGTTCCCGAACTGAGCTCATCTAAGATGCAAGACCTTTATGGCCGTGGGTGTGTTAGCAATGGCAACAATGAGCGGAGCGCCGGGAAGCGAAGACGCAGCAAGTTGGCACGTGTCAGCAAGTGGGGTGCACAGGTGATGCATCTGCCAGTCATCTAAGGCAGTCAACCCATAACACCTCCTTTCAGTGAGACTTCGACACTTCACGTGGCTTCAAAGTGCACCTAGCCTGGCGCAAGTGGTGTAATGACATCACCGCCACATAGTGGCGAATGGCGGCTGTTGTTGTTGCCGTGACGAACACAAGGTGTGTGTGTTTTTGTCAAACTTTCCTTTGGAATGTAGGCAGCCGCGGTCGATTCTGTCGGCACAAAAGCAATGGGTTGTACCATTCACCACCCATTGATCATTGCATTCGATTTTGCTGAGCAAGTAAAACTTTGCAAAAGATAATAGCAGCCTCGCGGCATTTACTCATACTCGCTGAAACATTTGTCAATGTTTAGCTTGAAGCCACATGCTTGTAGAGACGAAATGGCATGGGAGTGCTTGAAATCCATCGGCGCCTCGTGTTTTTTTTTACACCGCGAATCGGTAGAAATGGCAACAACGGTCAGGTTAAACGTCATTTTCTAGATTACTTTGATCTCCTGATTAATTGAGAAAATTTCCGCGTAATTGACACTCGGGCACGGTAACGTGAAACGCCATCCGTTAATTGCGGAGTAAATTCGATCGGCAATACCGTCGCAAAAATATTCTGGAACTTTTAGTTCTCCTTTTCCCCCTCTTCCATTTGTCTTGCATTTCGGTTCATGATTATTTTATTGCGAGAGTGACCAATTCAGAGCGCGGATCAAACCGAGTGGTGAATGATTCGCGGATAGCAACGGACGACAGACGGTTTGTTTTCCCAACTTTTTATTTACGCAGAAGCTGCTGTGGTCTCGGTTGATGCCGTTAATCAGCGGTGGGCAACCTGCAACTGCGGAGCTGCATGCGGTGGCTCTTTCAGAACTGCTTCATGACGTCATTTATTAAGGACCACCACCGTCTCGTATTGACATGCATTCCGGCTCTAGAAATATTGAGTTTTTTTACCAAATTGTAAAAAAAATTATATTCTTGTTATTTTGTTTGCTGACCTCTGCCCTATAACCTGTCGTCCGGGTCTTACTTGGCTTCTGCGTACGTTTTTTAATCGGTACCCAGGATGGTTGAAAGGCAATATTGAGTGTGGGTAATGTGTGTAGATTTGACTACGGTTTATAGATATTTTTTAATGATATATGACCGGTAGATTTTTATTTTACCGTAAATTTCGGTCACCCTTTTTTCTACTGCAAAGATTTTTTTTTATCCATGCTTCGAGGATCATGTTTCTGTTTTCATAGTAAATCTGCCGTGCATTACAAAACAACAGCACCCTCTTGACAATGAGCCCTGATGCATCGTGAGGCTCTTTTAAAATATTGCTTTTGGAGGGCGAGACTAAATAAGCGGCAAAACTAATCTTTGCATACCGATGTACTTTAAGAAGAAAGTGTTTCATCGGTGTATATCACCCGCTGTGGTATTTGGATCAGAAACATGGACATTGACAAATAAAATCGAAGAGAAGCTGAAGAAGCATGGAGAACTGCACGCTTGCTGGGAGACAATAATAATAATAATGATGCAACTCAGAGGCGCGGAGCCAAGCTCAGAGTCGCTCGAAAGCGCGGTTATAGAGGTGAGTTTTTAAGTGTGTCTTGAAGGAGGCGATTGAGGTGATGCTGCGAATGTGCAATGGGATAGCGTTCCAGACTGTTGGGGCTGCCACGAGAAGCGGCGCATAGACACGACCATCCTGGATCTTGGTATCAAGAGGAGGTCGTGAGTCACGCTGCGCAGTAACACGTGGATAAGAGAACACGTACAAATAATGGACATCACGTTGGCTGCCAAGAAAATAAAAATATGCTTGGGCAGGATACGTCGCTTGCTGGAATGATGACCGGTCATCGAGACTTACGGAGCAGTAGCCAAAGGAGGGAATTGCTCCTGAGACGACATCCGCCACCAAGGTGGAGCAATGGGATTGCTCGTATGGAGCAGCTCCGGAGCGACGTGCGGCTCTTCAAGGACTACTTCGTGACCTCCTTTATTCAGGACCACCGTCTCCAATGCACACGCATCGTGGCTCTGGAAATATTGAGATTTTATAATTATTAAAAAAATGCCGCTTGTTATTTTGGTTGCCGACCCCTGAACTGGATCGATTGTTCCATCACAAGCCTGTCAAGAGTTGGTGACGGCGTGGGGGGTGGGGGGGTGGGCTTCATCCAGCAGTGGATTGACCATGGCTGCTGTTGCTGATGATACTGAATACCTGACGTCTACGGTTAACAAGCATAGTACCGCTTTGTGGAAGGTCAAGAGTGAATATTCTCGCGTTACTCTGGTCTCTGCCATAGCAATGCAGAATTGCCACTTCTGGCGTGGAGAGGTCGGCAAAGATGAGCTGTGCACAGCATCTCGTTGGGCAACGTGGCCACTGCTGTTTGGTGGCTTCAGTGATTAGTGTGCTCGAGGTAGTAACGCGACATTGCAACATCTGCCGCATACGCTCACGGCGGTGCGGTGTCGGTTCGCTTGCGCGTCGCTCCGTGTTCGCTCGCAATGCGTGCGTGCGAACTGGACACCAAAAATCTGGCTGCTCTTCACAAATCCCCGCGCGGTGTCTCCCGTGGCCGCCCGCCACTCCCTGCCCCACCTCCCCACGCATCCCCAACTGCCGGGCTCCGCTTTGTCTCCTGTCCCTCCTGCACCGCGCCGTCTTCATTAATTCATGGGTTTTCCACTCAACCCGATCTTCCCTTCAAAAGCCAGCTGATATGATCTCCCACATCAAGGTGGGCTTCGTAAATGCCAGAATCCTGTGTCTTTCATCCCTGGGAATCATCACGTGTGTGGATCGTTGGTAAGCCAGGAAGCATTTGTTTAAGTAGCCATGTGGAATTTGCCAATCGATGACAGCTGGCTCAAGGCAGAGGGCTTCGGGGGCCAGCACATGAATGTGTGATGCCCTCGGTGGATTTACTCATAGAACTGTTAAAATCTTACTCTTTACTCCTATTGTTTTGAATCATTATTGACGCAGTTTGGAAATACTTTGATAGCCATTTGTAAAATTCCAGAAATATTTTACGATAGGAATTTGCTCATGACATGCAATTTCTCTTAACATGTAATTTCCAGCAAAACATCGTACTCAAATTGTAAATGTTGTGGATCCACTCTTCAACACACCGGTGGGCTAAAGTAGTGAACTATTTGTCTTTTGTCAACGTGACGCATTTTTTACTGATTGACCGTATCGGGTGGTGGAGGGTTGCGACAAATTTATAAATAACGCGATCTAACCCAAAAACCTTTATTATGAATGCAAAGGCTGTTCTTTAGAAAACAGAGTATACGAATTATGAAATCGTTTTGGCATCACCCATTGTTTGATTTCCCACTTAACCCTTTCCCATTCCAATAACGTATGTGTACGTCATCATAAAAAAACTAACTCCATCGGGAGGTCAGAAGACGTACCGAGGCTCCCACAAGGCAATGCAGGAGGGCGTGTGGCATAGTTTCCAAGCCAAAGGGTATAATTGTGTGCGTGGTTTTCCACAGGATGGGGTGATGTCCCCGGAGGATGTGGACCTCGTCATGACCGAAGGCCTCGGCCCTCGCTACGCCTTCGTGGGCCCCCTGGAGACCATGCACCTCAACGCTGAAGGTTTCCTCAACATCCACCACCACATCACCTCTTTATCCACTGCACAACCGAGCTACACTGCAACCGTGCCTGGCTGGCGCGGCACCCGCGGTGTCACGTTCGCCACGGTGGCGAGATGTTAACTACCTCGCCTGGTATACAGGAGGCCGTGGGTTCGATCCCAACCTCGATGCCTGTATATTCGGAGTTAGCGTGTTCTCCCCGTGGTCACGTGGATTTTTCTCCGGGTCCTCCGGGTTTTCCCTCCATATTTAGAATCCGCATTGTTTACAGTATTTGGCCGCTATAAATGTCAACATGATAAGCCACTTTGTTGTATCATCTGTGGCCAGGTTGCTTCTGAAAAACAGCTTCATAGTTCAGTAGGCCTTACCGGGTAAAATAAAAATAGTTTAGTTTAAAGAGGTAATTTTTTCCACTGCAAACCGAGCCGTGCTACCGACGTTGCGCGCAATGGGCAAGTCGAGGCGCGTGTAAACAACGGGGTGGCACGGTGCCCTCGCCGCGGACTCACGAAAGTCACGCGCAACTAACGTATCGTTCCGCCCGCCCCGTGGGGTCTGCTTAGCCCCAAGCTCATTCAAAACGCGTTGCAGGGGCCAGCACATCACGGTCTGATTCTGGCTCGGCACGGAAAACAGCCGGTGGGAAAGCCACCCTCACCGCAAGGTTCCCCGGCGGTGACTCACTTTAGATGCGCCAGTGACAGGGGGCTATCGGGCAGTGACAGGGGGCTATCGGGCAGTGACAGGGGGCTATCGGACCAGCCTGGGCTTGTACCGACCGCTGCACGTGAAGCCGCTGTGATGGTTGACCGCGCGCAGGCTTCAAGAGCTACTGCGAGCGCTACCAAGGCGGGATGACGAGCATCATGTCTGCGTTTGGGCCTCTGCCGAACTTCGCTGGGGAAGCTCTGGACACCATCGACCAGGTGGGTGGACGCATTTGGACTGCCTTACCAAGTCGTGGCTCATTGAAATAAAACGTGAATGAATAATGGGAATCCTTTAGCCTCCAAAATAAATCACATCTAAGACATTGAGCTAACAAATAATGGTTCTTTCAGATCGATGTGGTTTTTCATATTGGTGGGAATTGTCAGCGTAGTGGTTCGCGCACTGCATTACGAACACGGCGGCCAACGTCCCTCACATCTGACATCGCTGGCGAATAGCTGAACCGGCTCTGGGCCTCGCCTAGGTTGACTCAGCCTTAACACACCAGATGGTTGTGTTCAAATCGTGAAAACTAAAAGTCTCTCAATGTTTGAGCATTGATGCGGTGCTCATCTCCTGCTTGTAACCCTGAGCCAGTGGTGGAAATTCCTCATCAATATGGCAGGGGAAGGCCGATCCATGGGACAACCATTGTTGACTTCCTCACAAAGTGGCAATCATTTTTATTGACCCCAGAAGACCCAAAACAACAGAGAAAAAAATAAACTTGTATGAATCTCTAGATTCCAATTTATATATAAATAATGAAACCGTGTGAATTTTAAAGAATTCTTTCAGCACAGTTCCATGTTTGTCGTGTGAGTATAATAATATTTTTGTTTTTAATGACGCGTTCAAACTTTACCCAGTAGTGTTTATAAAAAAATATAGTTCCAGTTGCAACTTACACGTCCTTCAAACTTGGCGACAGACCAATAAGGCAAGTCAGTTTTGCAAAGGGAGATTTGTGTAACTTTCATTTTTGTGATTAACATCGCAGTAATACTGATGGCCGGGAGTGGTGGTGCAGTGGTTAGCACACAGCATTATGAATCTGGCCACATAAGATCAGTTCTCACCCATGACTAATACCTGTGGAAAGTGATATCTGGAAAGGTCCTAGATGCTCCCTCCACCAACCTACACTGATCTCGTGGTGACGTATGATGTAAAAATATTACTGCCAAGCCATTAGGAGGGCTTCATCTGGTAGTGGCTTGACATACAGCTGTACCTACAGTGCAACATGCAAATCTGACTTGCTGGAGACACAGGCAGAGGCAGATATATGAAAAGTTCAGATATGTGAACATCTGTAGAAAATCACGGTTACATGGCACGAATGTGTTACCGGATCAAGATAATGCGCTGCTTTAAATACGGGGAAGCTCTTGAGCGTGCTTTAAGAAGCGAGCGAATGTACACGAGATTAAGAATACATTACCACGCGATGTGTCAAAAGTTCGGATTTGGGAACATCTCTAGCAATTGGCGGGTACACCGTGCACAAATACAGACTGGGTGGGGGGCGGTTCATTGGTCAGGGTGGACCTGTGACGGTCGGATACTCTTCGTGGCAGTGGTGACGCTTGACGATTTGATTTTGTAATTTAACGGTGACTGCTCGCGCGATCGTTTAATGTGCCGCCCACCCACCACCCTGCTGCTTCCAGGCCATGTCCGCTCGCACCCCAGCCAATCAGGAGGCGCTGAGCGCCCGGCGAAAGTGGAGGGATGAGCGCCTGACGGAGCTGGCCAAGATGAAGAGTGCACAGCACGCTGAGAAATCGTGAACGTCACAACACGCGTCGATGTGGTTGTCTTGTGGCCCAGGGCACGGAGTTCCTGGGTTCAAATCCAGGTTTCGGCCATCTGCCATTAAACTAAATTACCATGTGTAGCGAGTTGATGATTTCAGCCTGGTCCAAAGTGTCTGTACAACAAAACCATCGCTTTAAAGTTGGTTTTCCAGCTAAATTGGCCACGTTTCATCTCCGAAATGAGCTTTTTTGATCTACTGACATTAAAAGGTATGTGTCGAAGGTGGGCGACGATATCAATTGAAATTACTTCAGAAGTAGTTCTGTGATGTCATCTTCAGTGGATATCTAACCCAGGTTGATGCATTTTTAGCTGCAATAATTTCTGGATAGAACCGTCTTCGTCTAATGTCAGGATGCCGGTATTACAATGAGAGTATAATTGGCAGAATATTTTTTAAAATATATAAATGTATATTGAAAATAAACATGTAACATCAGTTGGCTGGGTGATTCAGGGTACCGAGGCTGTGTCAGAGCATTACGCTCAAACTTCCTCGTGACCACTCTAGGTAAATGGGTCCTGGCGTTTCGGCAGTTCGTGTTTACCAACCACAAAACAACCCCTAAGAGATGGAAGATCGAAACCGTGAGAGTCGTGTAAGAGCCAGAGGTACAAGTGACTTTGTCTCCATCGCAGCCCAAACTTACAAGATAGTTTCTTCCATTCAAGTGCTCATGACGCTCACTCCTGGTGCAGCCTGTCTCAGAACTGATGACGTTGAGGGGGAATTTGGTTGAGGGAAATGTCAAATTTACTTTTCTCAGGATATTTATATCAATCGCCCACAGCTTAACGCTTAATTGGTGAACCGTGTTTGCGTGCTTTTGTTTCGTAATGGCGTGTGATGGGGAGTGGACTTGGCGCTAATTTCTCATTGGCGTCGTACACTGCGATTGCACAGAGCCGGCAGAGACAAGTCTGGGCGTGCGCGTTTGGGCGTTCAAATGCAGTGATCAGCCGTGATGCATTTTAATGGCAAATAACGTGAACCATCAGGTATGATGCCTCATCGAGCCTCTGAGCCCCGTCCCATGGCCTGAGAGAGCTGTTGTGTGTTGTTGTGTGCTGTTGTGGACATGTCGTGCCTGTGTGTGGGAAGCGATTTGCAAGTGATCAGGAGCACAGCGGCACGGTTGCAGCAACCTGATTTACAAGACGGTGCTCTGTTGGCTGCGGGGTTGGGGCGATACTCGGCTGACTCGTACCATGTAAGGTCCACGGGAATGGCAGCGTCAGCGTGATTCATTTTGCCCGTTTATTGTTTTGGAAATATTTTATTTTCTAACATTAAAAAATAACAAACGCAATCATAACTTAAAAAACATAAATAACTGTTATTACCCATTACATCAGTCCTTTATAAAAAAAAAATTTAATTGTCTGGTGGTGATATGACATCATTTTCTCAACCCTGAATTATTGTGTAAATGTGCATTATAAGCCGAACAGATTCGTACGCTTGCACTGACCATGAGACTCGTGGGCAGGCTTGTGTTGCGCTGGCTGAAGGACTGAAGCAGCAGTGTTTGTATTAGAAATACAGCAAAGCACAACAACAATACTGATAAAAACGTGAAATGCAATGCAATTAGGAAAGTGGTATCGCGATGATCATCATCGTGAACATAACATTACATTGTGAATTTATAAATATATATCCTGTATATCATGCTAACCCGAGTTGGCAGTGGTGCACAAGTAACAACCACCAATGTCGAACATCGTTACACGTGGGATGTTCCTCCCCAAGGTCAGCTCTGCCCTAAATGTCATTGGTAGAATCCAGCAGACACACCAGTTAACGCTACTACTTATTACCGGACTTTAATTGTATGTGTTTGCATTCGAAAAAAGGTGAATTGTAATTGAAATGTAATCTTTACTTTTAATACGAGTGATATAGACATGAAAATAATCCAACAAAAGCGAATGCTGTTTTACAATGGAGTCACGCAGAGAAGAAATGTCATCATCACATTTTTCAAAGTGAAAACCTGTGTCCCCATAGAAGAACCGCTATGCATGTGAAATGATAAACCGTTTATATTTCTCTCCTAACATTGTGGTTGTCTGCATGCTCTTTCCACCCGATTCTAAATTGCTTTATCAGCGTCGTGATCTGAAGAGACTGCCGTCCGGATTCGCGCAGTGAGCAGTGTACCACCTTGTGTCATTAGACGGTGGCCAAGTTCATGTGATGGCTTTCTTGCATAATCAATACTGGCTGGACTGACATCGACTCACTACGTATGGTGCGAAAGAAGTTAAACACTCTTTGGTTTTTTCGGTAAAGTCACAGAGGTAAACATAATAATTAATTAAATGTGAACAACTAAATTAAATCTCGACGTTTCAGGCGCGGTCAGAAATATGCGAGCACAAGTCGGATTTGTAGCACGGCAGGACGAATTCGTCGGCCGTAGCTGACAACTGTTATAATGCTGCTGGTTCTCATGACATTGTGTTCTCCGATACCAAGGTACTCTGCAAGCCTCCTGGATATTACCAAAGATTTGTCCATGAAACCATCCAGATATACAAACATAGACATAGCTTCAACCGAGAGGATGGATTCAAATTGAGCAATCATTGGAAGGATGTAATTAACCAAGTTAAAACTTTAGCTGCCGTGCAGTTTACTGCTAGACAGCCAGTTTAGATTTATTTTCATAATCATATCCATATTCCCAGTCTTCTACTCCCAGCTTCACACACTACCATTACCTCACGTTTTTCAGCTTGGGCATTTCTAATTTACCCCCCAGGCAGCATAACAAAAGGCTGCTGAATCTTAGCTTCTTTTATATACTTCTGCCCCCTGCATCACAAAGCTTCAGTTAGAACTCCATGCGTTGCCTCCCAGCGCCCTCCCCGTTCCTCACATCGTAGCCTGCCAGCCCACAGCCCGCCCACACAATCACCATGGCCCCTCCCCTCCCTCCATCCCCCGCGACTATATAATTCCTCGTCACAGCCATCTCTTACACACTTTAGCGGTTGTGCTTTCGCTACGTTGTCCCCACCTGAAAAAGGAAGCTTGTGTTGCGCCCGAAACGTCGTGATTTAATTTAGTTTTCATTTATTTAATTAAAAATTTACCTACGTGACTTTACCTTGCAGTCACGAAAGCTTCAAATCTAGAAGTGAAACATGTACACATGGAAACCGACTTTATTAATGGGTGGCAGCAGCGCCCCCGACTAGAACACTATACCTATCTCAATCTGTCTTCCGCGATAAGATTCGTGCAAATGTACAATGGATTATTGTACGCCGGGGCACTTGGCAATACCACAAGGCTAGAGGTAACACAAAGACTTTACTGGGAATTCAGTATGTGCATGTACCGCCTGTGTGTGGCAAATCCACTGCTGGATCGGGGCCTATCGTCTCGCTGGCAGTCGGGGTTAATTGACCATACTGCACCACTCCGGCCAGGGAAGGTTTTTATTATTTAACTTCTACGTGACTTTACCGAAAGAACCAAGAATATGAATCCATGCAGTCACGAAAGCTTTAAATCGAAATGTGGTGAAGGTGTGTTTTGTTGTCCTGCCCACCACACCCCGCCCCCCCCCCCCGTGTTTGTGTGTATGGTGGTTGCCCATCCAAGGACCCACCAGGCTCAAGACCTGCTCGGTTCCGACGTCTAATGCCACTGGGCGCATGCCCTGTGACCTCGGCACAGAGGGCGCGGGATTGAACTCGGCAATTCAACTTGGGGGGTAAATCGTGGGTCGCCAAATGACTGTGACTGCTTTGGACGTGTTGCTGGCTCGCAGCTGAGTAGGAGGACACCCTGGGGGGGACAAGTGTCGTCGCCAACACGACTGGCGCCACAGGTTTTGGGAAGCAAGTATCTGCAGAACACGTGGTCTTGATGACAACCCGTGTACACTCGTTTAGACTCGGGGCTACGTAATCATCTTTTTTTTTTATAAATCCAAGTGAATTGAAAGGACTTTGGTGTGCGATGTGCGTGCATGACTGCTCGCACATGAACTCACTGTGTTGTCACTGAGCGTGTGCTGGCCTGCATGAGTTCACGACACCGTCGCCCTCGTGGATTTACTGCTGCCTCCCTCTCCTCTCATCTCACTCTTCTGTCCTCCACGAACACTCCACTCCAGCGACCAAGGCTCTGTGCTAAACCCATCGGCCACCCTCCAGCAGAGGAGGGAGGGTGCTTCATTGTCTGCTGCTGCTGCTGCTGCCACAGTCTGGGATTCCCTCTCGTCTCTGCGGCCCATGCTGCCCACTCTGCCCGTCCGGACTCAAACACTTCACTCTTCTCCTCTGCCTAAGCCTGCTCCCCCCTCCCCCGCGTCATCTAGGAAATGTCTGTATCTGCACCTTGATTGACATTTTTTGTTAAACCTCCATTGGCCTCTGATCTGCATGTCCCCGCTGTAATTCTGGAGCGTCTTGAGATTTGGTGGCGTTTTCGACACCATTTGAAGACAAATTGTATTGAGAAGAACCCCTTTACTTTGCCTGGGCAGGGCGTGAAAGCTGCTTCTGCTTGCACGTGCGTGTGCTTGTCAATGCACGGTGGCGATGTGCGTACGTGTGTTGAACTTCTTCTGCACTGTACAGAGCCAACCGTGCAAATAGGAGGTGCGGGGGAAGGACACCCAACGAAGCACGTCAAGCAGTGGCACCAGCTGTGGGAGCGGCTGGTTTTACAAACGAGGATCTCACGGGAGACCCGACGAAGGGACAGCCCCTGGGTTCCCTCTGCTGCGCCGACGATAGTGGGGACCGCTGTCAACCACGTCCCAACAACAACCACAACCACGTCACAACAACAACCACGTCACAACAACCGCGTCCCAACAACAACCACAACCACGTCACAACAACAACCACGTCACAACAACCGCGTCCCAACAACAACCACGTCCCAACAACAACCACAACCACGTCCCAACAACCACGTCCCAGCAGCAACATCAACCGCGTTCTAACATGAACTACAACCTCATCTCGCCTCTCCTCTTTATGTCCCCACTCGTGCCTCTCTCTGTCTCTCTCTAACTCCTCTCTCTGTCCCTCCTCCTCCTTGTGCCCAATCCCGTTTTAGATCTTTCTCCCTCCTTCCACCCCACCACTGGAAATCAATTTCGCTGTACATGAAACAGTCCCCCTGCTTAGCCTCCTTCCATTCCTCTGGTAAAGCCTCACCTCCTCTCTGTTGCCCATCCTCTTCGTCTTCCCACCCCCCTCGCCCCTCCACTCCTCTGCCACGGCCACTCATTCCTCGCCCCTTCTAACGCCCTTGACATTTAAATCACTCGGCTGTGGCTCCACTTTCAAACTGCAAATGCGGTGGTGAGATGCAAACCATGAAGTGCGTATCACTGATGACTGCCCCAACACAACCACCCGTACTCTGGTAGAACGAGCAGACTACCCCACTCAGCTACCCCAACACAACCACGCGTACTCTGGTGGAAAGAGCGGACGACCCCACTCAGCTACCCCAACACAACCACGCGTACTCTGGTAGAACGAGCAAACTATTCCACTCAGCTACCCCAATACAACCACGCGTACTCTGGTGGAAGGAGCGGACGACCCCACTCAGCTACCCCAATACAACCACGCGTACTCTGGTAGAACGAGCAGACTACCCCACTCAGCTACCCCAATACAACCACGCGTACTCTGGTGGAACTAGCGGACTACCCCACTCAGCTACCACCCCGGATGCCGTGTAATGGCTCACAAACATTTAAACAATAGTTTTACAATTGTAGCCCTACTGCTTATTCCAAACGCCTGTACGCAAGAAGAAAATGCATTGCATCTGATTCCATCGCATTCCAAAGAGGTCACCGCTGGATTGAAAGTCCACGTGTGATGTGGAATCGTAAATATGTCTCGGAATGTTCCAAAGAACGTCGTCTTGCGCTGTGGAATAGCCCTCGATGGACAGTTGACCCTAAACTTGGCCCTTTACGAGCTGCGCCACATTTTCGCACCGCTTGCGGCTGGCATCGCAATTTCGCATTCTCTGCGAGTTATGTGCTCCAGGCTCGGCTACAAAATTTAAAGAATTGTCTGATGATGCAGGTCCATGGGTGGGACCGCTCGCTGTTGTTCAACTGGAATGGTGCTGAGTCATTGATGTTGGCGGTGCGCTTTACAAATGAATCCGATTGGGGGGGTTTCTGTTGTGGTTAGATTCTTGTTTTCCAGGGTGCTCGCGCGGATGACTTTGTTCCACTTCACGTGGCCTCAGAGTGCACCTAGCCTGGCACAAGCACCGTGTTGACGTCATCGCCACTTAGTGGCAAATGGCAGTTGTTGTTATTCCACTTTGAGACTTGGGTGACCTCCCTTTTGCTGCCTTTAACCACACGGGGAAATCAGAATTTCAATATTTATTTTACTCTGGAGGAATCCGATGAGCTCTAAAGCTCTTTATTTACTGATGTCCAGTAGGGGCAGGTCAGAACGTTACAACAAAGAATAAAAACATACGATAGGAGTGAAAAGTTCGTCTAGGAAAGGTAAACACATCACTAAAATATATACAAATAAAGCTAAACTATTTTATTTTACCAGATAAAGCCCACAGCCATTCGCATCGTTTTCAGAAACAACCCGGCCACAAGTGATAGATCAACGAAGTGACTATCACCTGGACATTTATATCAGCCAAATAAAACTCCAATACAGGGGTGATCCATTTATCGACACCCCTACTAAAATAATCGAAAGATATTAAATACAAAGATTTAAGTTTGTACCCTCTCCACGTCGCCTACTCAATCTCAATGGTCATTTTAAAATGTTTACACGATGCTCTGTGCGATGTGGAGATATCCGCTGTTGCTAGATTCAGTCGCCTGTTTAGACGAAGACGCAATACCACCTTGAGAGGCGATCGTCAATCCACTGTTGGAGGCTTCCTCACACCGTGGCGGTCATACTTCACCACACTGGCAAGGTGTCGATTGGTGTCGGCGCAGGTGCTCAGGGCCGGTTCCAGATAACCACTGGCCACTGATGGTAGCCGTGACTGGAATTGAACTCGGCTCTGCTGTCTTCTG